GCATTACCTCATTTTGCTATGCAAATACCCACCATCACAACACTCTCTTGTTCAGTGCTGTGGTGGGGCCGTATCCAGTCTCACAGAGGCCTGAGAATGGCTGGTGAGATGGAAAGGTGCTAGTGCCCCATGATCCTGCTATCTAAGAAGAGAGAGGGCTTGGAAATGAAGTCCCTAGACATGGGTCTCCCTAAGGGGATCTGTATGGCTTCAGGGAACACAGGGCCCAGAAGGCATAGCATGACAGCACCGGGCAGGGGGCACTGGGGCCTTAGAGGGATGCTGCTTTTAGGTCCTACAACAGCCTAGGAAGAATGACCATGCCTTCTAAACCAAAAATCAGAAAATATAGCCTGCTAAGGAATTTTGGTGCTATTGACACAGAGACTAGTTTAGATATTGATGTGCTGATATTTCTTGGTTATACGGATGGAGAAATGAACAGAATGTTTTAAACAACACTTCTAGCAAATCCAGGCTGGAGGGTAACTGTATAGCATGGACTGCAGATAGCCAAAGAGATAAAGGCAGGCTATAGGATCTATTTAGGGTACCTGAAGACGGTAGAAATAGTCCAAAGGTATAAGCATGGGAGTCATTTCAGTCTGAAACCATTGGGATCAATCAGACCTGGAAAGAAAGGGACTCTGTTTCTTATTTATTTATTTATTTATTTTGAGACGGAGTCTCACTCTGTCACCCAAGCTGGAGTGCAGTGGTATGATCTTGGTTCACTGCAACCTCCGCCTCCTGGGTTCAAGTGATTCTCCTGCCTCAGCCTCCTAAGTAGCTGGGATTACAGGTGTGTGCCAACACACCTGGCTGACTTTTTGTATTTTTAATAGAAATGGGGTTTCACCATGTTGACCAGGCTGGTCTCAAACTCCTGACCTTGTGATCCACCCACCTCAGCCTCCCAAAGTGCTGGGATTACAGGCTTGAGCCACGATGCCCGGCCTCGGATTCTGTTTCTTAAAGCAAAAGGGCTCAGTGGTAGGGCTGGGTTGGAGTGGGGGGAGGACAGTGTTGGCTTACTTACTGGAACTGGGGCCTAAAACTGGAGAAATCAATAAATAAGAAGAATGGCTCTAAAAGCCTGGGCCAGAAAGAAAAAAATGTGTAAAACTGGGGCAGTTTCTTTTCCTCAGCTCAGTTTCCTCATTTGTAAGATAAGGCCACGAGAATGAATGATCATGGAAATCCCTTCCAGACCTCACATTCCTTACTATGACTTTCATATCCCCTGAGGCTGAGTACATTGTTTAACCCATGGTTGGCACTTATATCCAGCCCTTCTCAGGGGACCAGTGGACTTTCTCCCTCGCTAGGGATCCCAGTCTCTGTCCCCAACTCCTGGCCCATAGGCATCTGGTTATATACATAAAACAAGCAAGTGCCTTTCCATATTTCTGAATGCTCAAGATGTCTCGTCATGCTGGGCGTGGTGGCTCAAACTTGTAATCCCAGCATGTTGGGAGGCTGAGGTGGGCAGATCACCTGAGATCAGGAATTTGAGACCAGCCTGGCAAACATAGTGAAACATTGTCTCTACTAAAAATACAAAAATTAGCTGGGCGTGATGGTGGGGGCCTATAATCCCAGCTACTTGGGAGGCTGAGGCAGGAGAATTGCTTGAGCCTGGGGGTGGAGGTTGCAGTGAGCCGAGATTGCCCCACTTCACTCCAGCCTGGGCAAAAGAGCAAGACTTCGTCTCAAAAAAGAAAGAAAGAGAGAAAGAAAGAAAGAGAGAGAGAGAGGAAGGAAAGAAGGAAGGAAGGAAGGAAGGAAGGAAGGAAGGAAGGAAGGAAGGAAGGAAGGAAGGAAGGAGAAAGAAAGAAGGAAGCAAGGAAGGAAAGAGAAAGAAGGAAGGAAGGAAAGAAAAAAAAGAAAGAGAAAGAAAGAAGAGAAAGAAAGAGGTGTCATCATATGGAGATGCAGGGGAAGGGGAAGATTCTGGATAACTCTTGAAAGGTAACATCACTGGAAGAGCTTTACCTCTTTGGTTGGGTGTTGAACTGGATGTAGGAGCAGCACTCAGTGGTATGTGCAGGTGGAAAAATAAGGCAATTTGCTTGTCAGTATATCAATAGGTATATCAAAGGTGTAAGGTGGCTGGTAATATATTGAATTCAACTTTAGGCTGCAAACATAGATTTAGGTAAAGGAGGTGACAACCCAGTTCTACTCTGAGCCAATCACACAGCGGATGTCTGGAATGTTAGATTTAGTGGACTTTGCTCTCTCAAAAAAATATACACACAAATCAAACTGTGTAGTGAGGAAAGTGAGGGCACTCACTTTCAATACATCAATAAGGAACAGGGGCAGATGGGAACCTGCAGAACTATCTGAGAGAGGACATCACTATACTCAGATATCTGCAAGTCTTGTCATGTAAGAAGAATGAGATGTGTTTTGTAATGCATGTAGAAGATAGAGGGAAACAGACTTCAACATAAAGCAAAGCAAAACTTCCTCAGTCAAACTGTCCAAAGATGAAATCAAAAGCCTTAGAAGTTAGTAAATTCCCCACCCCCTTGGAGAAAGGAGAATGGGATTCATATTTGGTGTGCGTCTGGGCACTGAAATACAGTATGTGCTTGCCATAAATTATCTCATTTAATCCTCATAATAACCAATGTGAAGATTGGGGTTCAGAGAAGTAAAGCAAATTGCTTGAAGTCACACAGCTACTGTGGATTTTATTAAACACAAAAAGCCCATGTTCTTTCTACACCAACAACCAGGAGCCTCTAGGCAAGGATGCTAGCAGGGGGCACTTAGTCATGATTGCCTTTAAAGTAAGTAGGGAAGTAGGCAGTCCTGAGAGCTTTAAATCCTAAGTCACTCAAGTGAAAAGAGGAGGAATCAGGATGTGTATTAAGGTGACAGATGAAGGTTTTATTCCTGTGCCAAGCCAGTGAAGTCACATGAAATGGATTGTCTTTAGCTCACTTAATCTGGATAAAATTTATCCTTAGATTTTTTCCATGGTTAAATGCAGTTCTGTAGTTTAAATGAATGGGTGTACATGTGCATATCTCTGTGTGTGTGTGTGTGTGTGTGTGTGTGTGTGTTGTTGCATCACGTGATTGTGGGGAGAGGGGCTGTAGGAGAAACGCAAGGGAAAGGGCAGTAAGCATCAGAGACTAGGTCTTTATAGTGAAATTCTAATTTCTCAAGGCAGTAGTAGCTGAAAATTACCTAATCAAGTGACCAGGCAACAGAGCCAAGAAGGAGGCCTTCTGTAAGTGGGAATTCATGAATAATGAAGATTGATTATGTTCCCTACCTATTTAAAGTATGGCCCTCTTTTTTCTTCTTAGTTGACCTCATCTCCCTCCCTTATTCTTCGTCATGGCTGCAGAATCATAGGCCCTTGGAATCTTAGGCTGACCTGCCCTGTCCTAGACTTCCTGAACCTCACAATCTCTCAGTTGCCTCAGCTGCAAAATGGGGAAAATAATACATATCTCATGGGGTTGTTGGGGGATTAAATGAAATAGCACCTGTCCCCTCCATAGAGCCACCACAGAGGAAGCAAAAAAAGGAAATATTATGAAGAGTAATTCAATATAGGCTATCTAGACAGAGGTGGGCAGCAGCACCTTGCCCTCCTCCACCACCACAGTGCCCAGAACCTTAGTCAGGACTGACTTCTCTTGGGGGTGGTACTGTGTTAGATAAACCAAATAAGAAGTAATAGGACTAAACACGCCTGCTGTAAGAGAAGGCTCATATGCTCCTAAATCTTGCATGTCATTGGAAAATTCTCAAGAAAAAGGAAAGGGATAGTTTATGTTATAATGATTGGTCCACGATCCGATTTTAGTGATTTGTCTTCACTGTTTTCAAAACCAAATTTGTTTTTTGTGCAATCACATTTAGTTTTTCTAAATAGTGACTTCCAAAACCTTTAAAAAGCATTGAAGGTGCAACTGCTACTTTTTGAGGTTCCTCAAAAAATTAAAAATAGAACTACTATATGACCCCAAAATTCCATATATCCATAAGAATTGAAAGCAGGGTCTTGAGGAGACATTTGCACACCCATGTTCACAGCACCACAGCAGCCAGGAGTTGGGAAGCAAGCAAAATGTGCATCGACAGATGAATAGGCAAACAAAATGTGCGGGGGGTGTGTGTGCATAATATTATTCATTATCCTCATGATCACATCATTACCATTCCAAAGGAAGGAAATCCTATCGTATACTACTTGAATGAACCTTGAGTGCATCATGCTAAGTGAAATAAGCCGATCATAAACAGGCTGTTACTGTATGATTCTATTTCTATGAGATATTTAAAGTAGCCAAATTCATAGAAACAAACAGAATGGCAATTGCCAGAGGCTGAGGGGAGAGGGGGAAAAGGGAGTTGTTTAATGGGCGTAGAGTTTCAGATTTGCAAAATGAAAATTTCTAGAGACCTGTTTCACAACAACGTGAATATACTTAACACTACTGAACTGTACACTTAAAAATCAATAAGATGATAAATTTTATGTTATGTGTTTGTTTGTTTTGAGACAAAGTTTCACTCTTGTTGCCCATGCTGGAGTGCAATCTCAGCTTACTGCAACCTCCACCTCCTGGGTTCAAGTGATTCTCTTGCCTCAGCTTCCCGAGTAGCTGGGATTACAGGTGCCCTCCACCACACCCGGCTAATTTTTTGAATTTTTAGTAGAGACAGAGTTTCACCATGTTGGCCCAGCTGGTCTCAAACTCCTGACCTCAAGTGATCTGCCTGCCTCGGCATCCCAAAGTACTGGTATTACAGGCGTGAGCCACCACGCCCGGCCTGTTATGTGTTTTTTACCACAATTTTTAAAAAATGAAGAGAAAAAAAGCATTGAGGACCCAAAAAGTCAAACTGGATTGATGCTTAGTCACTAGACACAACACCCTAAGTTCTGTTACTGCCAACTTTGGATTCCTGACCGTGCAGGAATCTTTATTTAATAAATATACAATCCTGTTCTGTTTGCCTCTCCATAGGTATTATCCACGTGACCAAGGAAGTGAAAGAAGTGGCAACGCTGTCCTGTGGTCACAATGTTTCTGTTGAAGAGCTGGCACAAACTCGCATCTACTGGCAAAAGGAGAAGAAAATGGTGCTGACTATGATGTCTGGGGACATGAATATATGGCCCGAGTACAAGAACCGGACCATCTTTGATATCACTAATAACCTCTCCATTGTGATTCTGGCTCTGCGCCCATCTGACAAGGGCACATACGAGTGTGTTGTTCTGAAGTATGAAAAAGATGCTTTCAAGCGGGAACACTTGGCTGAAGTGATGTTATCCGTCAAAGGTTGGTGGGATTTTCTGATTTTACTTTAGGCCGGCAGATTCCTAATGCCCTTAAAGACACATGACTATTGATTTAGGTGAAAATTTTACCAAAGAGGGATGTAACTCACTTCATGTCTTGGGGTTAAGTCTCTAGTTGTACGATAAACCCTAACTGGTTTCTAAAGATGTCCTGGAAATATCTGTTAATGTACATTTCTTGTTCTTTGACAATCCAAGTTCATGACAATCATCCTGGGGCACTGTAATGACCTAAAGAGCCTCTCAATTACCAAGGGGAATCTTTGACTTGATATAGCCTTGCTACTAACTGCACTTGACCCAGCAATATCTGCTTGTGAAAGTATGCTGAAAAGGTAACGGGGCTGGGTATGGTGGCTTATGCCTGTAATCTCAGCACTTTGGGAGGCCAAGGCGGGCAGATCACTTGAGGTCATGAGTTCAAGATCAGCCTGGCCAACATGGCGAAACTCCGTCTGTACTAAAAATACAAAAATTAGCCAGACGTAGTGGCGCATGCCTGTAATCCCAGCTACTCTGGAGGCTGAGGCAGAGAATTGCTTGAACCTGGGAGGCGGAGGTTGCAATGAGCCGAGATCACACCACTGCACTCCAGCCTGGGTGATAGAGCAAGACTCCATCTCAAAAAAAAAAAAAAAAAGAAAGAAAGAAAAGAAGAGGTAAAAGAACAATGGAGGCATAAAATCTCTTTCAGGTAGTATGTGAATGTCTATTACTATGGCTATTTTACTATTATATTCTAATATTTTCAAAGTGATCATTTACTTATTGCATATTTGAAACTCTAATCTAGCAGTCAGTCCTGAAAAGTTAGATGTTAGAGAATTGGGCCGGGCGCGGTGGCTCAAGCCTGTCATCCCAGCGCTTTAGGAGGCCAAGGTGGGTGGATGGCTTGAGCTCAGGAGTTCGAGACCAGCCTGCCCAACATGGTGAAATCCCGTCTCTACTAAAAATACAAAAATTAGCCAGGGGCATGGTGGCTACTTAGGAGGCTGAGGCAGGAGAATCATTTGAACCTGGGAGGTGGAGGTTGCAGTGAGCAGAGATTGTGCCACTGCACTCCAGCCTTGGTGACAGAGCAAAGACTCTGTCTCAAAAGAAAAAAAAAAGTAGACTACAGAGGAGGGTGAACATTTCCCTAGTGGTAGAGACTCTGTCTTAAAAAAAAAAAAGTTAGAGAATTGAATGCATAATTAATTCCTGCCACAAGGAAAAAAACTAATCTATGAATCATAGCCCTATTTATCTACCTACTGTGGAAGGCAAGCATTTCTGGTCTCAGAAAGAAAGGACCCTTGCTTTTGTAACTGCCCAAATGGTTTACCTTGCCTGCTGCCTAGACAGAGCCAATTCATCAAGACAGGGGAATTGCAACAGAGAAAGAGTAATTCATGCACAACTGGCTGTGCGGGAGAGCGGAGTTTGATTATTACTCAAATCAGTCTCTCTGAGCATCTGGGGAGCAGAGTTTTTAAGGATAACTTGGTGGGTCAGGGAAAGCCAGTGATCTGGGAGTGCTGATTGGTCAGGGATGAAATCATAGGGAGTTGAAGCTGTCTTCTTGCACTAGGTGGGGGCCACAGGATCAGATGAGCCAGTCTATTGATGTAGGTGGTGCCAGCTGATCCATCAAGTGCAGGGGCTGCAAAATAGCTCAAGCACTGATCTTAGGAGCAGTTTAGGGAGGGTCAGAATCTCATAGCCTCCAGCTTTATGACTCCTAAACCATAATTTCTAATCTTGTGGCTAATGTTAGCCCTATAAAGGCAGTCTACTCCCCAGGTAAGAAGGAGGTCTGCTTTGGGAAAGGGCTGTTACCGTCTTTGTTTAAACTATAAACTATAAACTAAGTTTCTCCCAAAGTTAGTTCAGCCTACGCCCAGGAATGAACAAAGACAGCTTGGAGGTTAGAAGCAAGATGGAGTCAGTTAAGTTAGATCTCTTTCACTGTCTCAGTCATAATTTTGCAAAGGGGGTTTCACTTTAATCACAGTATAACAGAGGATACTGCAGGAGCCAGAGCCCTTCTTAAGAAATTATAGCCTGAGCCACTTTCTCACAGATGGAATTTGAACATATTTTCTTTTTTTCCCTGGGCACTTGAGCCTGTAGTGAAAACCAAACTTCTCACTTAATAAAACATAATGATTAATCTTGATAATAGATAACTTCAGCAGATCCTTAGTGAATTCCTTACTGTTCTTCATTTTGATCATTAGCTATGAATCTTTCCTTGTGACATCCAGATCACACCTAAAGTTTTGGGGAGTAAGGCAAAGTTACATGGAACTATCTTAAACTTCACTCGGTGTTTTCTCTGCTCTTGGATAGAATAAATTATTATATGGTGATGTGATTTAAGGGGTACTAAGAAGCCTACCTCTTCCACAATTTTCACCTGCATTGACTCCTGAAATTCTCATCATCATAGCCATTCCTGCTAGTTTCTCCATTTTCCTCCTAAAAGATCCCTGTTGAAACATTTCAAGGGGGCAGGCCCTATTAGCAGATTACCATAAGGGGACAACGTGACATTTCTGGGGTACTCAGAACCGAGGGTGTGGAGGTGGACAAAATCCAGTAAAGGGAAGACAAAAAGGTTACTTGCTTAATTTTACCGAGAAGCATTCTGAATTTTCCAACTGAGTCAAAGCAGTGCTTCTCAAAGGTTTATATGCCTATGAGTCACTTAAGGGTCTTGTTAAAAAGGCAGATTTAAGTTCAGTAGGTCTAGGATTTGGATCTGAGATTCTGCACCTCTAACAAGCTCTCAGGTGATGCCTGTGCTGCTGTGGAGGACCACAATTTGAGAAGCAAGGAATTAAGCTCTCATTTGGCTAGAGTGACCAGTTATCCTCTTTGCTCAGAACCAAAGGGTTTATTTGGGGCACAAGATTTTTGGTGCTAAAACTGGTCCTTAGGCAAATAGGACAAGTTGGTTACCCTATATTTGTCTAAGATTGCAAAATGGTAATATAACATCAGCATAGCTATATGAAAACCTCCATTAACTGGCATGTATGAGGACTAGCTACATTAGTTAACAGCTTAACTAGGTTAATGGATTTTTCCTTCTAAAACGTGTGCACCTATTCCTTTACTCATAAGATATTCTTACCCTTCCCTATTAAGAGTGATGAAACTTGGGTTAACTAATTAAAATGAGATACAAAGGTCACAGTCTTACAATGTCTTTGATTGTTCACAATCTCACAAGACCTTAGGAGTGGTTGCCCTAAACAGATCACCCTAGAAAAATGGTGGGAGATGGAGTTTGGGCTGTTCTAAGCCAAAACAGATTTTGAATTTTTTTTTTTTTTTTTTTTTTTTTTTTTTTTGAGATGGAGTCTCTCAGTCTGTCACTCAGGTTGGAGTGCCATGGTATGATCTCGGGTCACTGCAGCCTCTGCCTCCTGGGTTGAAGCGATTCTCCTGTCTCAGCCTTCCAAGTAGCTGGGACTACAGGCGTGTGCCACCACGCCTGGCTAATTTTTGATTTTTAGTAGGGACAAGGTTTCACCATGTTGTCCAGGGTGGTCTCGAACTCCTGACCTCAAGTGATCATCCCACCTTGAGCTCCCAAAGTGCTGGGATTACAGGCGTGAGCCAGCGTGCCCAGCCTTGAAAATATTTTTAATACAATTCCTGGTATAAGTGGCATTCCTGTAGTTTATTTCCCAGAAAAGCAGAGAACAAAAATTAACATGAATCATATTAATAATTTAGGATATGAGTTATTTGGATTTGTTATTCCTAATTATAACACAAAACATATTGATGTTATAAGAAACAGAGAATATTCTAGATGTCAGCTGCCTGTGTCATGAGTCAATCTTATAGGATAAATTAGTAAGTGGGAAATAACAATGCCAACTAAAAATGGCTCAGGAACATATCAAACTTCATTTAAGGATAGGGTTCATTGAAAAAAAAAAAAAAGTAACTTCACCTCCAACCAAATCCAACTTTCCCCCTTTCCTGGCAATTATAATCATTTGTCATGGCTTCCCTTTATCATCTTATTCTAGGTGCCACAAGGCATTCCTGGAAGTGTTTGCCTGGCAACCTGATTTAAATGAGGGGGCTTACCTAAGAGAGGATAAATTCAAGACCCACTTAAATATAGCTATCATTGGCTGGGTGTGGTGGCTCACGTCTGTAATCCCGTAATCCTAGCACTTTGGGAGGCTGAGGTTAGTGGATCATGAGGTCAGGAGATGGAGACCATCCTGGCTAACACAGTGAAACCCCATCTCTACTAAAAATACAAAAAATTAACTGGGCATGGTGGTGTGTGCCTGTAGTCCCAGCTACTCTGAAGGCTGAGGCAGAAGAATCGCTTGAACCCGGGAGGCGGAGGTTGCAGTGAGCCAAGATGGTTCCACTGCACTCCAGCCTGAGCAACAGAGCGAGACTATTTAGTTTCCTGTGTGTCAGGCTCTGTGCTAAGTGATTTCTATGAATGATGTCATTTAATTCTTACAACCCTGGGTATTAGTATCCCTATCTTATAGATGAGCAAACTAAGACTAAAGGTGGGTAAGTTATTGACCCAGGGTCACGAGGCAGAAGTGGTTTTAAAACCTGCTCTCGACGATCATATGCTACTTGACATCTCTGTGGGGCTCAGAATTCTGAAAAGAAAGATAACTCTATGGGGAGATTGAATCCCCACACTCATGCTAAGAAGTTAAACTCTTTACGTGTAAGAATAAGTGAGGAAGTCGCTAGGGGATCTTTCTCCTATGTTCTCTGCATTTATTTTCCTGTACTTTGTACTTCAGTATCTTATGGGGATCAAATATATAAATGAAAGAGTGCTTCAAGTGTCTTGGAGGAATGCTGGGAAGGCCTTGCTGTCCCTTTAAGGCATATCAAAATATTAAGAAAATCAATAAAGTATGGTGGATGAGGTTATAGGCTCAATGTTGTAGTTTGGATATACGTTTTTCTGAGTAAAAGACTACTTTTTAAAAAAAATTTCAACCAGGTATTTAATTGGTCTGGCAACTGCACAATATACAAATTTCTGAAAGGTATCTCCTGTTTGAAAGCTAGCATAGCTTCATCCCAGTAATTAATTCAGACAAATACACAGAACACAGAGAAGTCATAAATTATACATGGAAGACTCCCAAACCAATTAACAACTTAACTCAATCTATACAGCTTTCTATTTTTCAGGCTTCCGTATACATATTAAATAAATAAACAGCATGTCTACTATCAAAATAAAAAAATTCAAATGAATTCAAATAAATTTATTCAAATAAATTTCAATGATATTTTCAAATGAAAACATTACTGATATGGTTCACAGTTTTTCTTCTCACCTAAAATAAAGAGCTTTGCCCATGGTCTCAGGATAGAATAAAGAAAGGAGAAACCCCTTCCAGAAATAGATATGCAAATTCAAAAATATTGGTCCTGGGTGTTTTTTTGGGGGACTGCCGGGTGTTGGTGAGACTCAGTAGAAGCAAAAGCTCATGACTATAGTTCAGCGCCCGCCCCCCACTCACACGCACACAATGCCCCCTCAAAAGCCAGGTCACAGGCTTGCAAATTAGGCAGCATTTTCCTTTCTCCAAGATCTCCTCTCCTTGACCAGATTTATATTTTCTCTCTCCCCATCTAGACCCTTTCCAAACGAAAGTTCTGTGTTAGGCAAAGCCTTCTCTATTTATGTATTGAGTTTAGGTAGTCAGAGAGAAGAGAGAACACAACTTCATGGAGCCCTTACCTGTATCAGACTTAAGAGTCAATGTTCAAAGAATAAGACCAGAAAGGAGGACATGAGAAACCATTCTCAAGAGCAAAGGGGTAGGCCCCTCATGTAAAAGACGACGTTTTAAAAAGGAAGGAGATGCAACCATAAATTTAGGATAGCGATTACCTTAGGTAAGGGAAAGAGAGGGACAGGATAGGTGACATCATAGTAGCAGATTTACCTCAGTTACTGTCAGTGTTTTGGGTCTCAAGTTGAATGGTGGGTTTTCAGGTGTTCGCTATAGTTTAGTAAATAAATAGATAACATAGAAGAAAGCCACTGTGTACCTCAGGCATCAGGAAGAAACAAAGAGAAGACAAGAAAAGGAAAGGAAGAAAGGCAAGGTCAAGAAAAGACAGGCTCTGGTGTCAGACAGATTTGAATTCTGCCACTACTGGTTGGTTATAATTTCTCTAAACCTGTTTGATTACTTATAAAATGGAAATTATATTAGGTTAAATCATATGAAATTACTGATCTTTGACCTTTTTAGATTTACAACTTACCTCTCTAGGGATTCTGTGAAGACAAAATGAGATAAAGTCCAGACCTAACAAACAAGAGCTCAGTAAATGTTGTCTATTATTATTCTCTTCATCTCTTACAATTGCAAGTACTCTGGCAACATTTATTCACACGAACCTCCTTTCTCTAGTAAGTGCCCTCCTATCTCCATCAAAAGTGGTAAAGAATTGATATAACCAATTCAAATCAAAGTTAGTCTTTGGATTATACATAACTATTAATGATTAATGGGAAATTGCAAGTTATATCTCATTTTATCATTCTTGTTTTGTTTTGTTGTTTTTGAGATGAAGTCTTGCTCTTTTGCGCAGGCTGGAGTGAAGTGGTACGATCTCGGCTCACTGCAACTTTCACCCTCCAGGTTCAAGCAATTCTCCTGCCTCAGCCTCCCGAGTAGCTGGGATTATAGGTGTCTGCCACCATGGCTGGTTAATTTTTGTATTTTTAGTAGAGATGGGGTTTTGCCATATTGGCCAGGCTGGTCTCAAACTCCTGACCTCAGGTGATCCACCTGCCTTGGCCTCCCAAAGTGCTGGGATTACAGGCGTGAGCCACTGTGCCTGGCCTTAATCAACTCTTATTAAAGCTAGAAAATTATTTAAAAATAAACCTCTACACACATAGGTTTGTAACTACATGTAATTATATATTCTTGTTCTTTCTTTAGCTGACTTCCCTACACCTAGTATAACTGACTTTGAAATTCTACCTTCTAACATTAGAAGGATAATTTGCTCAACCTCTGGAGGTTTTCCAGAGCCTCACCTCTCCTGGTTGGAAAATGGAGAAGAATTAAATGCCATCAACACAACAGTTTCCCAAGATCCTGAAACTGAGCTCTATACTGTTAGCAGCAAACTGGATTTCAATATGACAACCAATCACAGTTTCATGTGTCTCATCAAGTATGGACATTTAAGAGTGAATCAGACCTTCAACTGGAATACACGTAAGTGACATTGTTCTGGGGAGTTTCTACTATATCGAATCTAAAAAGACAATATAGTCGTGTGTCATTTAATGATGTGGATACATTTTGAGAAATGCATCATTAGGCAATAATTCTGCCACTGTCTGAACATCAGAGTGGACTTACATAAACCTAGATGGTATAGCCTACTGCACACCTAGGCTACATGGCACAGCCTAGTGCTTGAGGCTACACACCTGTACAGCATGTTACTATACTGAATACATAGGCAGTTGTAATACAATAAGTATTTGTGTATCTAAGCATATGTAAGCACAGGAAAGGTACAGTAAAAATACAGTATTATAATTTTATGGGACTACCATCATATATGCGGTAGGTCATTGAAAACATTGTTATGTGGCACATTACTGTAACTCAGCCAGATACATTTTAGAATTGTCATATTTACTTTGATAGTATTTTATAGTATTTTTAGATACACAAATGACCATGTGCTATTATGACTTATTAAAGTCACTGTGAGGGCTAAGCACAGTGGCTCACACCTGTAATCCCAGCAGTTTGGGAGGCTGAAGTGGGAGGATCACTTGAGCCCAGGAGTTCAAGACCAGCCTGGGAAGCATGATGAGACCCTGACTCTATGAAACATTTAAAAAATTAGTCGGGCTTGGTGGCACATACGTGTAGTCCCAGGTACTCGAGAGGGTAAGGTGGGTGGCTTACTTGAGCCCAGGTGTTCAAAGTTGCAGTGATCTCTGATCATGCCACTGAACTCCAGCCTGGGCAACAGAGCGAGACCCTGTCTCTAAAAGAAAGAAATAAAATAATTTTTAAAATAAATTTAAAAAATAAAGTCACTGTGCAAGGTGTGATAATGTTACTAATTTTCTTTTTATTTTATTTTTTTGAGACCACCTCACCCTGTTGCCCAGGCGGGAGTGCAGTGGCACAACCTCCACCTTCCGGGTTCAAGCAATTCTCCGGCCTCAGCCTCCCCAATAGCTGGGATTACAGGCGCCAGCCACCACCCTCGGCTGATTTTTTTCTATCTTTGGTAGAGATGGGTTTCACCATGTTGGCCAGGCTGGTCTTGAACTCCTGACCTCGTGACCCACCCATCTCAGCCTCCCAAAGTGCTGGGATTATAGGCATGAGCCACTGTGCCTGGCCTTATTTTCTTGTAATAAATATTCTAAAATTTATATATACTAATAACCACTATCCATCATCTTAGAAAGTTATTGTAACAATATTGTTATTGAAAGTATTAAAATGTGCCCTTTGGAATTGCCCTGAGGGATTTGGTACTTTCTTTTAGGGCATGCCACCACATGGTTCCATGGTGCCAAACAATTTTTTTTTTTTTTTTTTTTTTTTTTGGTGGGTGAATGTGCTTTTTAAGAACTATTGGTTCCTTCTGAACCAAGTCTGGGAAAGGTGAGTGACAAACTGCTTGAAGACAACGCCTGAAAAGAGGTCATTTTGGAGCAAATATTTTACCCTACTGGTAGTAAACTCAGAGAATTCTCTTTCCCCAAGAGGTGAAATCACTTGAAAATGTAAAATGAAAACGTTGGATTGACATGAATATATGCATCTTAGGCCTATAATGGCTTAAGATGGCTTACAAGGTGAACTCAGATGCTCAAAATATTAATGCTTGTTTAAATTGTATGGCTGATCATACAGAAGACCACAGTCTCTCTCCCTACCCCTAGCCCCACTCCCAAGGGTAGGTTTTGTGACTATAGTAAGAAACAATACACTGAGTTTGATATACAGTTGCACATAAGTATATAGCACAATATATATTATATAGTATGTCTTTACTTAGAGTTGTGAAGTGGATAATTTATTTTAGATGGTCTAGTAATTCATGCTAGTATATGATTTACTCTAGATCTTTCAGTGTTACAGCAGATTCTTTTTTTTTGGGACAGAGTCTCGCTCTGTTGCCCAGGCTGGAGTGCAGTGGCGTGATCTCGGCTCACTGTGACCTCTGCCTCCCAGATTCAAGCAATTCTCCTGCCTCAGCCTCCTGTGTAGCTGGGACTATAGGTGCCGGCCACCACGCATGGCTAATTTTTGTATTTTTAGTACAGACGGGGCTTCACCATGTTGGTCAGGCTGGTCTCAAACTCCTGACCTTAGGTGATCCGCCCACCTCAGCCTCCCAAAGTGCTGGGATTATAGGTGTGAGCCACCGCGCCCAGCTACAGCAGATTCTTTATTTTCCTCAATGAGATAAAATTTCGTGGGAAAATTAGGTCAACTATAAACCAAACATTGACATGACTATTGATACTCCAAACTTACCAGTCTCAGTCATCTTTTATGTGTTGTAAAAATTTTATTAAAATGAGGCTTCAATCATAAAGATAGTTTATTAAGTCTCTATTTTTACCTTCTTGTTATAGAATTATTTAACGAATTTTACATTATTCTGATTGAAGGTAGAAAACAGTAGAGTCCTGATTATTAAATCAGTAATACTAGCTTGAACTACATTTTGATTTGGACATTATTCATATTGGAATATGGATATATGTGACATTCTAGGACAGGGGTTGGCAAATTTTTTCCGAATAGAGCCAGATAGTAAATATTTTAAGCTTTGCAGTCACCGTCTCTGTTGCAACAAGTCAATTCTGCTGGTTGTAGCATGAAAGCAGCCACAGACAAGACATAAATATTCCAACAAAATTTCGTTCTTTCTTTCTTTGCTTTTTTTTTTTTTTTTTTTTGGAGACAGAATTTCGCTCTCATTGCCCAGGCTGGAGTGCAATGGTGTGGTCTCGGCTCACTGCAACCTCTGCCTCTTAGGTTCAAACGATTCTTCTGCCTCAGCCTCCCAAGTAGCTGGGATTACAGGTGCCTGCCACCACAATTGGCTAATTTATGTATTTTCTTAGTGGAGATGGGGTTTCACCATGTTGGCCAGGCTGGTCTCGAACTCATGACCTGGCTGGTCTCGAACTCCTGACCTCAGGTGATCCATCTGCCTCAGCCTCTCAAAGTGATTACAGGCATGAGCCACCACGCCCAGCCACAAAATTTCATTTTTAAGAACAGGTGGCAGGACAGGTTTGGCCCATGTGCTATAGTTTGCTAACTTAAAGATTTTGTGGTTGGAGAGCTTTCGTGTATAAATGTCTCAAATCTCATTAATTGGACCGTGTGGGGATTCTTTAGAATAAGATTCAAAAGCAAATAATGCATTTATGGGAGGTCAAGGGCTGACTGCACTAACAAATATACATTAGATGTACAGTTCATAGAAATGTTACAGGTCAATGTGAGTAAAGTTTTGACGTGAAAATGTATTAGTCTGTTTCCATGCTGCTGATAAAGACATACCCAACACTGGGCAACTTACAAAATAAAGAGGTTTAATTAGACTCACAGTTCCACGTGGCTGGGGAGGCCTCACAATCATGGCAGCAGGCAAGGAGGAGCAAGTCATGTCTTACATGGATGGCAGCAGCTAAAAAGAGAGCTTGTTATAAGGAAACTCCTGTTTATAAAACTATCAGATCTCGTGAGACTCATTAATTATCACAAGGACAGAGCAGAAAAAACTCGCCTCCATAATTCAGTCACTTCCCACTGGGTTCCTCCCATGACATGTGGAAACTGTGGGAGTTATAATTCAAGATGAGATTTGGGTGGGGACACAGCCAAACCGTATCAGTAAATAACTGATCTGGAGGAAAAAAAAAAAAGCCCAAATGTATTAATTAAGCAGATTGGGCATATGATTCTTTTTAGTGTAGTCCCACCAAATTTGTTTTCCCTTGATAAACTGGAAGGAGATAAATCTAGGAGAGTCATACTCATGGTATCTAATAAGCTACATGTGCAGATACCCTCACACAGCTGTGCACCTTGGATTCTGGGTCTGCCCCTGTGGGGTGTTACCAGGTTTCTAACAGGTGTCACGACAGACCTGGCTTGCTGCTACCGAGGCCTCCCTCTTTCCCTCACACACATACTCTCTCTAGGTTGAATGAGGCTTGTGGATGGGTGCGGAGTGGAAGCCAGGAATGAGCTGAAGCCTGTGAAACTTCTAGACGCCCAAGATAACAGCAATGGCTTGTTATTTTTTGTGTCATTCTAATCTGTAGAGGTCAACTCTGGTAATCACTTGATGTCTCCATGCAATCTGGTGTTTTAGAGAAAAAAGAAAAACCAACTCTCCTATCTTTAAGTGGTAGATACACTATGATTAAACAGGTGTTTTAGAATGATTACTGTGACAGCAATGTGCAGGAATTATTAGAGCCTAGGAAACCTGAGGCAAAGAGACCGGTTTGCAGGCTACTAAGTGGGAGATGAGAAAAATCTCAGCTAAGGCAGTTGCTGCAAGAGATTTGGGAAAAAGCAGTAAGTTCCAGAGATATTCTGAATATAGAACAGAAAATACATGGGAGCCTACTGGGAAGTGAGCACAAAGAAAATACCACACTCTTATTTGGGTAACTAAATGGTATTGTTATTCACTGAAATGGGAGAATACAGGTGGTAGATATGATCTGGAAAGTATGTAGTAAATTCAGTTTTAATCAAGTGGAGATTCTGGCATCCATCCAATATATAAATTTAAAAATCAGATGACATTTTTGTTTTTTAATTTGTGTTTTTCTGAGATGGAGTCTTACTCTGTCACCCAGACTGGAGTGCAGTGGCACGATCTCAACTCATTGCAACCTCTGCCTCCTTGGTTCAAGCAATTCTCTTTTTTTTTTTTTTTTTTTTTTTCTGAGACAGAGTTTTGCTCTGTGGCCCAGGCTGGAGTGCAGTGGCACGATCTCAGCTCACTGTAAACTCCACTTCCCAGGTTCACACCATTCTCCTGCCTCAGCCTCCCGAGTGGCTGGGACTACAGGTGCCCGCCATCACGCCCGGCTAATTTTTTGTATTTTTAGTAGAGACGGGGTTTCACCATGTTAGCCAGGATGGTCTCGATCTCCTGACCTCGTGATCCGCCTGCCTCGGCCTCCCAAAGTGCTGGGATTACAGGCGTGAGCCACCACACCCAGCCTCAAGCAATTCTCTTGCTTCAGCCTCCCGAGTACCTAGGATTGTAGGCATGCACCTCCATGCCCCGATAAGTTTTTGCATTTTTAGTAGAGACAGGGTTTCACTATGTTGGCCAGGCTGGTCTCGAACTCCTGACCTCAGGTGATCTGCCCACCTTGGCCTACCAAAGTGCCGGAATTACAGGTGTGAGCCACTGCGCCCGGCCTCAAATGGCATTTCGAATCTTGGGTCTGGAGGATATAACCCCGGAAGACTGGGGCCAGTAACGGCAAAATGGGACCACAAACAGAACCATGGGAATAACAATAATTAGAGGACAAGAAGAGGAAGAAGTCTTCGAAGCAAAGCCTTCAGAGAAAACTGAGTGCAACAAACAGAAACAGAAGGATGTGGTGTCACAGAAGTCCAAGAAGGAGAAGATTCCAACTGGCCAAATGCTGATGAGAAGTCCAATAAGAAAAATAATAAAACTAAGCCAGGCGCAGTGGCTCACGCCTGTAATCCCAGCACTTTGGGAGGCCGAGACGGAAGGATCACCTGAGGTCAGGAGTTTGAAACCAGCCTGGCCAACATGGGGAAACCCTGACTCTACTGAAAATACAAAAATTAGCTGGGTATGGCGGCATGCCCCTGTAATCCCAGCTACTTGGGAGGCTGAGGCAGAAGAATTGCTTGAACTTGGGAGGCAGAGACTGCAGTGAGCTGAGGTCGCGTTACTGCATGCCTGGCCTGGGGAACAGAGTGAAACTCCATCTCAAATAAATAAATAAATAAATAAATAAATAAATAAATAAATAAAACTTACCACTAGGTTTGGTAATCAGAAAAGTAAAAACAGGGATCTCAGACTCCCTGGACCCTGTCTCCAGCCCAGCTTTGCTAGCTTCGCATCCGGTGCATGCTCCTGCCTCTGACTCAATGGTTTGCAGGAAAAATTTAGAGAGCACAACAGTGGCAATTCATGATGAAGAGATCTACTGCAAATCCTGCTATGGAAAGAAATATGGGCCAAACGGCTATGGTTATGGCCAGGGTGCTGGCATGCTTAACATGGTGAGAGGCTGGGCATCAAGCCAGAGAGTGTTCAGCCTCACAGGCCTACAACAAATCCAAACACTTCTAAATTTGCTCAGAAATATGGAGGTGCTGAGAACTGTTCCAGATGTGGGGACTTGGTATATGCTGCTGAGAAGATAATTGGAGCTGGAAAGCCCTGGCACAAAAACTGTTTCTGATGTGCAAAGTGTGGGAAGAGTCTTGAATCAACAACTCCACTGAAAAAGACGGTGAAATCTATTGTAAAGGATGCTATGCAAAGAACTCTGGGCCCAAGGGATTTGGCTATGGCCAAGGAGCAGGGGCTCTTGTTCATGCCCAGTAAGGTGTAAACCCAGAACTAAGCATCACACACTGATAATCTCTTCGTTATCTAGGCACAGATAATCTTTAACACTAAACTACTGTGAAATTCTACCAGCATTGAGTACTGTATATTACCCTGTACTTGGATAGGCTGGCTAACTCATAGGGAGAGAGCACTGTATCGTACCATTTTGCTTTATTCACCAGCATTTTTGGGGAACATTTCTTTTATGTTTTAAATAAAACTTCAGCATGGGAAAAAAAGAGGAAAAACAATAAGCTAGTAAATATTCATTTATTTGTAAGCCATTTCAGAGAAACCAGATGAGCTGCTATAATTTGTGTCCCTGCCCTTTTTCCAGATGTTGCTAACTATTCTTCAAAGCAGCTGAAGAATAAACAGTGTAGCTGCTGCTCCTGATCTGGAGGCATGGACCAGCAGCACCATATCCACCAACACCTTTCTCCTCCCCACCCTCATCCTTCCTGTGTACTTCTTGTGCTCTGTGGGACTGAAACTACAGCTGATAACCTTCAGAGCTCTCTTCTAGGATGGTCCCACCTAATACCAAGCCATATCCACACTTACTTCTTTGCTGGACTTGTTCTGTATTTCCAGTAGCTCTAGGCTAGAGGGTGAAAAACCTGTATCCGAAAGTGAATGCAAAGTGGCTCCTGCAGCTTTAGGGCAGCTACTGTGAGGTAAGGATGTGTGTGATGTGTATGTGTTGAGAGACAATATGGTAGGAGAAAGGGAGAAGGCATGACAGAGCTAGAGAAGGAAAAATAAGTATACATAGAACACAACATCAACCAGTTAGTAGTAATACATAGTTATAATCAGCTATAAAAGTAAGATATTACAAGATGGCTTGTAAAAGATTTCCTTAAAATCTTCCTTATATCAACTTAACTCAGTAAATGCAGACATTCAAAGTGCCTTTTTCACTTTTAGTATCTGACATCTGAATATTAGTTGCCCACAAGTATGTGCCTGATTGAAGAATTATGCAAGAAAAATGCTAGCAGCTGCATACTGGAGGGCTGACCAGACAAAGAATACTCCACAGTTGCATCAATAGAAAAGGCACAGAATGAATATCAGGCAGTAGGAAACACATTACAGCTGACATTATTCTTTTCCCTCCACAGCCAAGCAAGAGCATTTTCCTGATAACCTGCTCCCATCCTGGGCCATTACCCTAATCTCAGTAAATGGAATTTTTGTGATATGCTGCCTGACCTACTGTAAGTACTATCATACTATCATCCTGATCTCAATTCTGGAAGATCAAACTTTATTAGCATGGTTCAGCAGCTCTCTGAGATTTTAGCCTATTCTCTCTCATATTTACAGAAAGTCTATGGAAACATTAGCATCTCCTTTACTTGTCTCAGTAAGTTGTGTTCATTCACTGGACATTTTCCGACACCTCCTACACGTGTGGTACTCTACTAGGCATTGGAATTACAGAGCTAAGAAGTCGCTGCCCTCAAGACACATTCTAGTTTAGTCCATCTATTTTTTCCCTGACTTCATATATTTTTGGAGACTGGGGTTTGCTAACTAATTTGAAAATGTTTCTGATGCTAAATGATATTCTAATTTTTTTTAAGGGCTAGTCAATTTGGCAGGTGAGTTGTTAAACACTCCTTAGTGAATTCCAACTTCCATGGCCACCATCCTGCTGATATTCTAATTTTGATTTGGAGTTAGAGAAAAGGCAAATTGACAAATTTTGGGGCCAAGAATCATTTTCTTGGAGGAGGGCAAGATGCACTGATACAGTCGAGAAACTACATGGCTACAGGTGATCCTACCAATTCTCAGTTCTTGGGATGGGCAAGGTGGCTCACGCTTGTAATCCCAGAACTTTGGGAGGCCAAGGTAGGTGGATCACTTAAGGTCAGGAGTTTGAGACCAGCCTGGCCAACATGGTGAAACCTCCGTCTCTACTAAAAATTCAAAAATTAGCCAGGCATGGTGGTGTGCACTTGTAGCCCCAGCTACTTAGGAGGCTGAAGCAGAAGAATCGCTTGAACCCAAGAACCCAGGAGGCGGAGACTGCAGTGAGCCAAGATCACGCCATTGCACTCCAGCCTGGGCGACTCCATCTCAAAAAACAAACACACACATTTTCAGTTCTTTTTTTTTTTTTTTTGAGATGGAGTCTCACTCTGTCACCCCGGCTGGAGTGTAGTGGCCCGATCTTTGTTCACTGCAGCCTCCACCTCCCAGGTTCAAGCAATTCTCCTTCCTCAGCCTCCTGAGTAGCTGGGATTATAGGTACGTGCTGCCACACCCGGCTATTTTTTTTTTTTTTTTTTTTGTATTTTTAGTAGAGATGGGGTTTCACCGTGTTGGCCAGGATGGTCTTGACCTCCTGACCTCGTTATCCGCCCGCCTTGGCTTTCCAAAGTGCTAGGACTTCTTGTCTTTGTAATTCCAGTGCCTAGTAGAGTGCCACACACATAGGTGTCTGGAAAAATGTCAATTTTCTCAGTTATTTAGAATACATTTTTGGATGAAAGATCAGGAGTGGCTGATGAAAGAAGAGATTTCTAAGATATTTTACCCTACGAATTTACACTTTGGGTGTTAGACATATGCTGCCCTCAATCTCTATGATTAAATTAAGAGGAATTGCTAGTTCTATGGTCTGAAATAAGGCCATAATCACTATGAAGGGGTACCAATTCTTCTTTGAGTAGAAATCATGTATGCAGATCAAATAAAATTGGAAGATCAACATCTGCTGATTTTCCCAGGATTTAGCACCAAAAAAACCCAAAGCTCAGTGAATTCCTTAGAGAGTATGTGCTGTTAACAACTTATCCCAAGGGTAGGATAAAGAGGTCTGGTGGGCTCAAGGATGTTTCTAATACCAACTATCCAGTGTTACCCCTTTAATTCAGGGGTTCTCATCCTCAACATTATTGGCATTTTGGGCAAGATAATTCTTTGTTTTGGAGTGTTCTGTGCACTGTAGGATGTTTAGCAGCTTCCTTAGCCTCTAATCACTACATGCCAGTAGCACTCCTTGCCCGTTGTGACAACCAAAAATATCCCCAAGCATTGCCAAATGTCCCCTTGACAAAGAGGTGAAGAGGTAGGTTGTAAATCACCCCTGATGTAAGAACCACTGCTCCAGTTCTAAGTCAGTCTGAAGCCTTGCTAAAGTAAATATTAATATATGGGCACAATTCAAGGGAAACTCACTAATCATTTTTATTGTTTGTTCTTGTCTCCAAGGTTTTGCCCCAAGATGCAGAGAGAGAAGAAGGAATGAGACATTGAGAAGGGAAAGTGTACGCCCTATATAACCGTATCGGCAGAAGCAAGGGGCTGAAAAGATCTGAAGGTAGCCTCCGTCATCTCTTTGGGGATACATGGATCGTGGGGATCATGAGGAAGTGTTTTCTTACTCTTAGTAGTAAATTTAAGCTGTTTTACCTACTACCTCACCTTCCCAAAAATCCCTTTTGGATTAAGCTGGACAGTTATAAGATGGCTGGCATCCCTCTCCTTTCTCCCCATATGTAATTTGCTTAATGCAACCTCTTCTTTTGCCATGTTTCCATTCTGCCATCTTGAAATATTCCCCTGTCAGCCAATTCAATGTCCTTAATTACCTATTAAACACTAATTTGAGTTTGTCTTGAATATTCCTGTGGTAACGTCTTATTCTGATCATTCATTTTTCCCTATATCTCTCAGTATTGATGGACATGGGTTGGGGCCACTTTGTATTAATATGGTAACGTTTTTGTTGGTTTCTCTGCCTCTTACTAACAGACTCATCCTACTGACCAATCATGGAGCCAAATTTCATAAAGAATTACTCTGTCATGTCATTTTCCCACTCAAAAACTCAGAAGAGACCCCCGTGCCTACAGGAAAAGCTTCAAAGCTTTTTAACTTTCTACATTCCACCTGATCTCTTGTCTAAACACCTTTGAGTTCTGTCAGTTGTTCCTCACATGGCATGGTTTCCAGAGCCTCACATGAATGGGGAAAACGGAACCCAAGACTTTAGATTTGGTCTTAATGACTCTACATACAATGAGATAATTATTATCTGGGGTCTGGAATGTCCATTCTGTTAATAGAGCCTAACACAGCACTAGCTTTAGTGAGTCACAAATCCCCAGGTATTTTCATGCAAGAGAAACTTACATGGGACATTAGAATCCAAGAGACTGATAGCAGGTCTAAGGTAGTTACAAGCCTCTCTAAACAGTTCAGCTTTGACTTGTGAAGACTGGAGTAACACCAGTATAAGAAATTAGTCTACAAAATTATCTTTAAAAATAAAAGAAAGCAAGAATTGTCCTGGGCAGGAGGGGGAAATAGAAATAAAAATGAAAAATAATACCTGAGACTTATACAACAGGTTGTTTTGCAAAAACACGATTTCATCTTAGTCTTATAAAAATCTCTATGAGCAGGATCTATTTCCATTTTATGGGAGAGAAACCAGAGGCTCCCAGAGGTTAAGTAATTTGCTTGTAAGGTCATACAGAGGAAGAATAAAACCAAGACTCAAACTGGACATCAAGTTCAGGTTCCTTTCCCTACAACCTGCCAGCCTATACATATTTTCCTCCAAGGCAGTCTCTCAACTTCCTATCCTGTTTTTTCATTGCCACTGAATGCTTGCTCACTCCTCAGAATGTCCTTTCCAGGATGTTGCTGTGGCTCAGTTCTGTCATTATTTTCTTGACTTTCTATCTAAAAAGTCTTCTGCTCAGTCTGCTGATACTTCAGAATGAAGCCACGTATCCAATCTTCTACACAAGGCCTTCTGTGGCCATCTTATCCAGCTCAAGCAGTTCCACCTGTAGAGCACATCTCATACCACTAGCATAGGTTGATTTTCATGTACCACATCTTCCTTCCATCCTTTACCGGACTGTATGTAGGCTTACTGAGAAAAGCAACCATGCCTGATAGCCCCATACATAGAAGAGTACCTTCATCAAGCATGTGGTCATTTAGTAATAGCTGGTAATAACTAAACATTTGCCTGATCAATATTTCATGTGATAAAAATCGCCAGAGTAGTTTTAAGTTCTCTCATAATTTAGCTCTCCCTTCATATTCTTCAGCTATCAAGGTTACTCTGTACAAGTTGGGAATACCCTTGATCTTGAGATTAAAATCTAAATTAAGAGATTAACATTAAAATTTATATGTATGTGGATATATAAATTTAAGATGTTCTCCTCCTTTGCCAATATAGGGTTTGATGTAATCATTTGTTTCCTCAGGTCCGAGCTCCATTTGCAATTGACCTCTTCTGAGAACTTCTTCAGATGGACAAGATTACCCCACCTTGCCCTTTATGTATCTGTTCTTAGGTGCTTCTTCACTTCAGTTGCTTTGCAGGAAGTGTCTAGAGGAATATGGTGGGCACAGAAGTAGCTCTGGTGACCTTGATCAACGGGTTTTTAAATGCAGAATTCTTGAGTTCTAGAAGGGACTTTAGAGAATACCAGTGTTATTAATGACAAAGGCACTGAGGGCCAGGGAGGTGACCAGAATTATAAAGGCCAGAGCCAGAACCCAGATGTCCTAACTCTGGTGCTCTTTCCCTTCATCAGTTTGGCTGTGGCCTGTTAACTGGTGTATACATATACATGTCAGGCAAAGTGCTGCTGGAAGTAGAATTTGTTCAATATCAGGTCAACTTCAGAGACTCATTTCCTAATGTCAGAGTAGATTTTATATTGCTGTTTACAAAAGCCCAATGCAATGCATAGGAAGTATGGCATGAATATCTTTAGAAGGCTAATGGAAATATTATTGTTTACCCAGTATTCCATTTTTTTCATTGTGTTCTCTATTGTTGCTCTCTCACTCCCCCATGAGATAAAGGAGAAAGTAGAACTATCCAAAACTAATTTCCTCTGACATGTAAGATGAATGATTTATGTACCTCAAAGCAGTAGTCAAGGAGGAAAGGGATAGTCCAAAGACTTAACTGGTTCATATTGGACTGATAATCTCTTTAAATGGCTTTATGCTAGTTTCACCTCATTTGTAAACCATTTATGAGAAAGTTCTCATTTAAAATGAGATTGTTGTTTACGGTGTACGCACTAAACAGTAAGCTATCTTCAAATGTCTAAGGTAGTAACTTTTCATATAGGGCCTCCTTAGATCCCTAAGATGGCTTTTCCTCCTTTTTATTTCTGGGTCTTTCCGACATCAGCAGAGAACTGGAAAGACATAGCAAACTGCTGTCTATGTTACTCATGACTCCTTTCTCTAAAACTGCCTTCCACAATTCACGAGACCAGAAGTGGATGCTGTGGGGAAAAGAAAGAGAGATCAGACTGTTATTGTGTCTATATAGAAAGAAGTAGACATAAGAGACTCTATTTTCTGTATTTGAGATGCTGTTAATCTGTGACCCCACCCCCAACCTTATCCTTGCAAGAGACATGTGCTGTGGTGACTCAAGGTTTAATGGATTTTGGGCTGTGCAGGGTGTGCTTTGTTAAACAAGTGCCTGAAGGCAGTATGCTTGTGAAAAGTCATCACCATTCTCTTAATCTCAAGTACCCAGGGACACGTACACTGCCAAAGGTCACAGGGACCTCTGCCTAGGAAAGCTAGGTATTGTCCAAAGTTTCTCCCCATGTGATAGTCTGAAACATGGCCTCATGGGAAGGGAAAGACCTGACCGTCCCCAGCCTGACACCCGTGAAGGGTGAAGGGTCTGTGCTGAGGAGGACTAGTATAAGAGGAAAGAAGGCCTCCTGGCAGTTGAGATAGAGAAAAGCATCTGTCTCCTGCCCGTCCCTGGGCAATGGAACATCTCGGTGTAAAACCCGATTGTATGTTCTGTTCACTGAGAAAGGAGAAAACCGCCTTAGAGGTGAAGGTGGGACGTGCTAGTGGCAATGCTGCTCTTTATGCACTAAAAAGGTTTATGGAGATGTCTGCATATGCATATCAAGGCACAGCACTTTTCCTTAAACTTATTCATGTCACAGAGATCTTTATTCACATGTCTTACTGCTCACCTTCTTCCTACTATGATCCTATTATCCTGCCACTTCCCTTTTTCTAAGGTGGTAAAGATAATGATCAATAAATACTGAGGGAACTCAGAGACTGGTGCCGGCGGCGTGGGTCCTCTGTATGCTGAGCGCCGGTCCCCTGGGCCCACTTTTTCTTTCTCTATACTTTGTCTCTGTGTCTCATTTCTTTTCTCAAGTCTCTCGTTCCACCTAACGAGAAATGCCCACAGGTGTGGAGGGGCAGGCCACCCCTTCAGGATGCAACTTAAGCTGGGATAATCACATTATCATCTGAAAATTTGGAGTTGGACAGCAAAAGACGACAACATTTCTCAAATGCACATCTCATGGCTAAGCCACATGGCTGGGATTCAAAGCCTTTAGAGGCAGCCCATGGCTTTAGCTACCTCACTATGCTGCTTCACAAACCTTGCTCCTATGTAAAACTATATTCTCAATGTAGGTGGAGAGGTCTAATACCAACATAAGATACTAGCAGTGCTTCCTGTATCGACAGGAATAATTAATTCAGAAATTCTTTTCTTTTCCATTTAGTAACAGTTGTGATGACTATGTTCCTATTCTAAGTAATTCCTGTATTCTACAGCAATACTTTGTCAGCAATACTAAGGGAAGAAACAAAGTTGAACAGTTTCTTTAATAACGCTGATCTACTTTTTGTTGCATTTGTATTTATTTCAAGTGCAAAATAAATCACCTTTGTTTATTAAGATTAAACCAAACACTACTACACATTTACACTCACACTGCTTCCAGGACCCAAGGGTTTCACACACCATTTGCCTACCTGGTTCTTTCCTCTCTTCCTTCCAGTGATTTCTAGAATACCCTTTCAAAGGACCACATGAATATATGAACTGTAAAATTCAACTTTAATCTTTTGGGAAATGTTTTATTTACTGCTTAAAATCTAGGTGGGTGGATATAGTCATGTATGTATATCTTGATAGATTAATACAAACATAAATATGTATTTAAATTTAAGGAAAAGTAAAGACAGAGTACAACAGCTCCATTCTTAAAAAGAAAAGGACAAGAGCAAGCCACTGCCACCACAGGTACCAGCACTTACATTTGTCAGCAGGCTGACCACAGAGTGGCCTGTCTGTTGGCATTCAACGGACATGGCAGCATAGCTCCCTTCAACTCTCCAGTGAGTTTCAAGTTCAGAGCACTTTCAGTCTTTGTCTTGTTTATCTATTACTGAAGGGTTTCTAGGAAGGTTTAGCAGTGCTTCAATTTTCTTAGCATCACTCTCAGGTTCATTTTTCTGTAAACTACTTTCAATTTTCTCAGTGAGGTCCTCAGTAAGTTGTAGTCTGGCTTTCCTGTAATCAAAAAAAAAAAAAGGATAAATCAAATACTGCTCCATTTCTTTAGTTCTTACAGATTTAAAACAAAAAGGATAGCATTTGTCTTTTCCTCCCTGCTTTGGTACAGCAACTTAGAAGTGAACACTGCTGCCTGCACTTCAAATGCAGTAACTCTCTTCTCTCCTTTGTAAAACTATATTCTATGAGGAGACTATATTCTATGTTCTAATAGGTTAGGAGAGAAGAAAGCCAATTATGATTTTCACATTACCATAATGGATACTGTTGTGGTGACAGTTCTGATCCGTAAGATATTCCTAGTATGCTGGGTCCTCGAGTTCTCACAGGAGTGATGTGTGGGAACCAACACACTTTGTGCTAAGTTGTGAAGGCTTGAAGTCTTGCTCCCCTCTTGCTCCCAGGGCTGGGGGAATGTGAGTACCTTGCCACTCTTAAACTCTGTGACCAGACCTTGCAGGAACTGGACAAAGGCTGTAACAATGGTAATCAGCGGGTGTAGAGGCTCATGCCTCCCCAGCACTTTGGGAGGCTGAGGCGGGCGGATCACAAGGTCAGGAGATCGAGACCATCCTGGCTAACATGGTGAAACCCTGTCTATATTAAAAATACAAAAAACTAGCCAGGCGTGGTGGCAGGCACCTGTAGTCCCAGCTACTCAGGAGGCTGAGGCAGGAGAATGGCGTGAACCTGGGAGGCGGAGCTTGCAGTGAGTCAAGATAGCACCACTGCACTCCAGCCTGGGTGGCAGAGAGAGACTCTGTCTCAAAAGAAAAAAAAAAAAAAAGGTAATCCTAGGTAGAGAAAAGTCAGATAGAACAACACTATAGATTTACATTCATGAAGAGCTAAAATCTAACTTCCAAATAATAGATCAGTTCTGTTTCTAAATCAAGTATTAGTGTCTTCCTTAAGTGATTATCAGGGTTAAAGCTTCTTCTCAACTCTTCACAAACAGATTTGTCATTTGTTCTTCTATATCTCTATAGTCAGTTTTCTACATTTTCTGCTCATTGAGGCAATTTTTTTGACTCTCAATTTGATTTTCCTGTATTATTTTCAAGCGAAGAAGTAGGCACATACAAGACACTTAAACGTTTATTGAATTAACCGTCCTAAGAAATATCACACACACACACACTCACACATAAACACACATAGGTGTATATGCTATACAATTTTGACACTTTCATTCTGCCAAAGTATTCTTTCATTACTATGATTCAAGTTGTTTTTATCCATCCTTCTTACAATTGAAACTAATACTTGTACATATTTATGAAGTACAAACTGATATTTTCATATACAATGTGTAATGATCAAATTGGGGTAATTAGCATATGCATCACCTCAAATCAGGGTAATTAGCATATGCACCACCTCAAACATTTATCATTTCATACTGCTGGGACCATTCAAACATCCTCTCTTCTAGCTACTTGAAAATATACAATAAATTATTATTAACTACAGTCATCCTACAGTGCCACAGAACCCTAGAACTTATCCCTCCAATCCAGTTATAATTTTGTATCTATTAATCAGTCCCTTAAATCTCCTCTTCTTATGCTTCTCCCTGTCCCCTCCTCAGCCTCCGGTAACCATAATTCTACTCTTTACTTCTATGAGCCCATTTTTTAGCTCCCACATGAGCAACAGAACAGGCAGTATTTGTAAGTGTATGACTTATTTTACACAACCATGTCCTACAGGCTCATCCATGTTCCCACAAATGACAGGATTTCATTCTTTATTACGGCTGAATAGTATTCTATGGTGTATATATACTACATTTTCTTTATCTATTCATCTGCTGGACAATGACATTGATTCCATACCTTGGCTATTATGAATAGTGCTGCAATAAGCATGGGGGTGCAGATAACTCTTTGATATGCTGGTTTCTTTTCCTTGGATAAATACCCAGTAGGGAAGATTGCTTGATCATACAGTAGTTCTATTTTCAGTTCTCTGAGGAACTTCCGTACCGTTTCTATAATGGCTGTACTAATTTGCATTCCTACCAAAAGTACCTGAGTTCCCTTTTCTGTCTGCATCCTTGCCAAAATTTATTGTCTTTTTGATAACAGACATTCTAATTGGGGTAAATATCACCCCAATTCCCCAAACTGTTCCCAAACCGCATTGCACTGTGGTTTTGATTTGCATTTCCCTGATTAGTTATGTTGAATACTTTCTCATATATTTTTTAGCCACTTGTATGTATTTTTTGAGAAATACAAGTTTCCCCCCAACTCCCTGCCCTTTTTTTTTTTTTTTTTTTTAAAGAGACAGGGACTTACTTTGTTGCCCAGGCTGGAGTGCAGTAGCATGATCATGGCTCACTGCTGCCTTGAATTCCTGGGCTCAAGGGATCCTCTGGCCTCAGTCTCCCAAGTAACTGGGGCTATAGGCATGCACTACTGTGACCGGCTAATTTTCTTTTGTCTCATTCTGTCACTCAGGCTGGAGTGCAGTGGTGCCATCTTGGCTCATTGCAACCTCCACCTTCCAGGCTCAAACAATCCTCCTGCCTCAGCCTTCCAAGTAGTTGGGATTACTGGTGTGCACCACCACACCCAGCTAATTTTTGTATTTTTAGTAGACACGGGGTTTCACTATGTTGGCCAGGCTGGTCTCGAACTCCTGACCTCAAGTGATCCACCTGCCTCAGCCTCCTAAGCGCTGGGATTACAAGCGTGAGCCACGGTGCCTGGCCTCCAACACCTTTTATTTCTTTTTCTTGCCTAACTGCTCTGGCTAGGATTTCCAATACTATGTTGAATAAGACTGGTAAGAGTGGGCATTCCTATTTCATTCCAGTTCTTTGAGGGAAAAGCTTTTCATTTTTCCCTGTTCAGTATGATATTAGCTGTGAGTCTGGCATATATGGCCTTTATTATACTGAGAAATAGTCCTTCTACCCCTAACTTTTTGGGAGGTGTTATCATGAAGGGGTGTTGAATTTTACCAAATGCTTTTTCTGCATTTATTGAGATGATCATATGCTTTTTGTTCTTCCTTCTGTTTATATGATGTACCACATTTATTGATTTGTGTATGTTGCACCATCCTTGCATCCCTAGGATAAATCCCACTTGTTCATGATGTATAATCTTTTTGATGTACCCTTGGATTTGGTTTGCTAGTATTTTGTTAAGGATTGTTTTGTAGAATACATTGGCTTGTAGGTTTTGTTGTTGTTGTTGTTGTTTTTTAACATGCCCTTGTCTGGTTTTTGTTGTATAAGGGTAATGCTGGCCTTGTAGACTGAGTTTGGAAGAATTCTCTCATCTTCAATATTTTGGAATAGTTTGAGAATTGGTCTTAATTCTTCTTTAACTGTTTGGCAGAATTTAGCAACGAAGCCATGTGGTCCTGGACTTTTCTTTGTTGGGAGACTTTTTATTACCAGTTCAATCTTGTTACTTGTTATTGGTCTGTTCAGGTTTTCTATTACTTCTTGGCTGAATCTCAACAGATTATAGGGTTTCAGGAACATATCCATTTCATGTAGCTTTTCCAATTTCTTGGCATATAGTTGTTTCATAATAATCTCTAATGATATGAGTATGTCCATGGTATCAGTTGTAATGTCTCCTTTTTTGTTTTTTAACTTAATTGGGACTTTTTTCTTAGTCTAACTAGTAGTTTCTTGATTTTGTTTGTTTTCAAGAAACCAACTTTTCATTTAGTTCTTCTTGTGTGTGTGTGTGTGTGTGTGTGTGTGTGTGTGTGTGTGTGTTTTTAGTCTCTATTTCATTCAGCTCTGCTCTGATATTTTTATTTATTTTCTTCCACTGATTTTGGGTTTGGTTTGTTCTTGCTTTTCGAGTTCCCTCAGGTGCAGTGTTAGGTTGTTTATCTGAAACATTTCTACTTTTTGATGGAGGCATTTATTGCTGTGAACGTACCTGTTAGTGATACTTTTGTTGTATCCCATAGGTTTTGGTATGATGTGTTTCTATCTTCATTTGTTTCAAGAAATTTTTTAATTTCCTTCTTTTTTCACTGACCTATTCATTGTTCTGGAGCATATTACTTAATTTCTGTGTATCTGCACTGTTTCCAAAGTCCTTCCCGTTACTGATTTCTAGTTTTATCCTGCTATGGTCTGAAAAAATACTTGATGTTATTTTAATCTTTAAAAAATTGTTGAGACTTAGTTTTGTAGCTTAACATATGGTTTATCCTGAAGAACATTCCAAGATAAGAAAAAGGTATATTTTGCAGCTCTTGGATGTGATGTTCTGTAAATGTCTGCTAGATCCATTTGATCTATAGTACAGTTTAAGTCTGATGTTTCTTTGTTGATTTTCTGTCTACATGATCTGTCCAGTGCTGGGAGTGCGGTGTTGAAGTCCCCAGCTATTACATTAGGGTTTATCTCTCCCTTTAGCTCTAATATTATTTGTTTATATATATATGGATGCTCTGGTGTTGGATGTATATATATTTACAGTTATTTCCTCTTGCTGAATTAATCTCTTTATCATTATATAATGACCTTGTCTCTTTTTGTAGTTTTTTATTTAAAGCCTATTTTATCCGACCTAAGTATAGCTATTCCTGCTCATTTATGGTTTCATTTGCATGAACATCTTTTTCTATCCCTTTACTTTCAGCCTATCTGTACCTTTACAGGTGAAGTGAGTTTCTTGTAGTCAGTATATATAGTTGAGTCTTTAAATTCTTTTTTATTCATTCAGCCAGTCTAAATCTTTAATTGGGGAATTTAAAGTGTTTATATTCCACGTTGTTATTGATAGGTATGGATTTACTCCTGTCATTTTGTTAATTGTTTCCTGGTTGTTTTGTATAATCTTTGTTCCTTTCTTCCCCTCTTATTTACTTCCATAGTTGGTGGATTTTTGTAATTATAAAGTTTGATTCCTTTCTCGTTCTTATTTGTGTGTCTGCTCTACTAGTGAGTTTTATTCTTTCATGTGTTTCCATAATGGTAGTTACCATACTTTTGCATTCACATGTAGGAGCTCTTTAAGCATTTCTTATAAGGCAGTCCAGTGGTGATAAATTCCCTCAGTGTTTGCCTGTCTTGGGAAGACTATTTCTCCTTCATTTTGGAAGAACAGCTTTGCTAGGTATAATACTCTTTGCAGGTGTTTTTTGGGGTTTTTTTGTTTGTTTTTTCCTTTCAGCACTCTGAATGTGTCATCCCATTCTCTCCTGACCTGTAAGTTTTCTGCTGGCAAATCTGCTGTTAACCTGATGGGGGGAGGTAAATGGTGGCAGCAGGCCCTGGATGGGCCAGTCTTCAGGCAGTACACATGACAGCTCAGCCACTAGAATTGGCAGCATTGCCAGTGGTGGAAGACTCCAGGTGAATGACCTTAGAATGGCCTTAGCCAGCCATTCTTAAGCTTTTCCATCTCAAAATCACTGATCCCTAAATCACTGACAAACTTCTGTAGTTTTTAATTTTTCATTTATTTTTTAAATTTTTTATTTATTTTCTTTTTGAGATGAAGTCTTGCTCTGTGGCCCAGGCTGGAGTGCAGTGGCGTGATCTCGGCTCACTGCAACCTCAATGCTTTTTTTCTCATATAGCACATAAGTCTTTGGATAATGGACTACAGCTCTTAAGAATTTCCATGTATGTGTGTGTGTGGTTAGCAGAAATGGAGGTTTCAAATGAAAACACTGGAAAAAAATGATTTCTCATCTATCCAATTATAATACCAAAACAGTAACAGCAGCAGCAGCCAATGCTATCTTAGGTACCCAGGAAGCTGAACTAGTGAGAATCGTTTGTACTCAGGAGCACTAGATAGCAGCCTGTTATATTCATCTTACATACTGAATCTGTGCAAAGTCAGCTATCAGTCTGATTGCCCTACCCCACAAATTGCATCCCAGGAAATGATTAGATGCAATAGGTAAAAGTTTTCATGCTCCTCAGTGGCATTCAGTGCATGAACAACTGCTGTCCACCTAATTCCTCTGTGTCTACAGCAAGAAATAGAATCTTTGTGGAGACTTAACATGCTGTGTCTTACATACATATGTATGCAAAAAAAAAAAAGATGTCACTTTTTCTCCTGTTTTGAGATGTGGCCCAGGCTGGAGCGCAATCATGGCTCACTGAAACCTCCACCTCCTGGGTTCAAGTGATTCTCCTGCCTCAGCCTCCTTGAGGAGCTGGGACTACAGACACGTGCCACCATGCTCAACTAATTATTGTATTTTTAGTAGAGATGGTGTTTTGCCATGTTGGCCAGGCTGGTCTCGAACTCCTGACCTCAGGTGATCCAACTGTCTTGGCCTCCCAAAGTGCTGGGATTACAGGCATGAGCCACCCTGCCTGGTTAAGGATGTCACTTCTTAAGTAAGCCAGGTAGAGCTCACTCCTTGGTGAATATTCCCTTTAGGTAATTTCCTATGCAGTCAAGAACATAGGAAAATAAAAAATATGCAAGCAAGTAAGATTTACAACATTTTAACTTAAAAAAAATGCAAAGAAAGACCTTTGTTAAATTAAAACTAAAATTAATGTCTTTCATTTTTCCATTCTCCTTAAATAGATTAAAAGACAATGTACAGAATGAGTTGAAGGACTTAGTAAAAATAAACTCTTCTTTGAACTGAGTGGCAGTTTAGAGTACACAAGTTTAACAGAGCACCACTATATAAGGCCTAGGACAAGATAGCCAAGATTCCCTGGGCTTAACATGTTCCTTACCACTCTTTCAGTTTTAGCTCATGGAGTGCCTTTCGATTCTTCTGTTTTCTCTCCTGAATAGTCTCACCAGAGTACTTCTGAAATGCCATCAGCAGGCCTCCTACAGGAGTACTGAGAAGAAAGGAGAGGGAAAGCTTAGGAAAAAAGAATCATTAGACCTTGCAACATGTGAGATTCTCTCCTAAGATGTGAGCAACACCAGAGCCACTTGTTCACTATTAGGTATAGGAACATTTGAGAATTAAAGTGTCCTTGTCAAATAAAGAAAAACATTGAGGTAATCTCTTCTCTGGTCTGAACAACAGAGAAAATCACTACAACCTCCTAAAGTTAACTGATATATAATAAAACAACAGATCTAGAAACTGGCTGTTTTTATGAGGAACGAGAAATCAAAACGAAGAGAAAAAAGTATATATTTATGACAGGATCTAGTAAGTAGTCCCACACCAAAGAATTCTCAGAAATGAAATTTCTAGTTCAGAATGGCACCAGCTCCTCTAGGAGACAGGAAATGTGGAAGGCATTTTTGGTTGAGGAAGGGATGCTACTGGCTTTTGAGGGTGGGATCACCAAAATATCCTGAAGTTCAAGAGTCTGGCATAACTGTCTCACCCACAATGCCAATAGCAACCCACTGAGACACTGATTTAGATAATAATTGCTATAGTGATGAAGAGAATTTGGTTCTTGTGTTCTCAAACTAGAAGTATTTGACCTTCATATACCTTAAATTTCCTCCAGCTATAATTTAAGTAACCTCATACTAAAAACTACTTTTACTTGGCAACATAAATGTTCACTGACAGATGGCTAAAGAAAATGTGACATACACATACAATGGAGTATTATGCAGCCTTAAAAAAGAGGGCAATCTGTCACAGGCTACAACATAGATAAACCTCAAGGACATTATTATGCTAAGTAAAATAAGCTAGTCACAAAAGGAAAATACCGTATGATTCTACTCATATGAAGTATATAAAGTAGTCAAAATCACAGAAACAGAAAGCAGAAATATGTTTGCTGAGAGCTGGAGGATATGAGGAGGGAAAATTAGTTTTTAACGGATATAGTTTCATTTCGCAAGAGAAAAAAGTCCTAGAGATCTCACATACAATGTGAATATACTTGGCATTTTTGAACTATACACTTAAAGTATGATTAAGATGGTGAATGTTATGCTATGTGTTTATTACCACAATATAAAATATTTTTGTTGCTAACTTCTACAAGTTTTCCCTTCAAACCAAACTGGTATATTAACACTAAAACAAAAGTAATGGCAGTAGTAGATTATGACATGCTGATTTTATTTAATTTAAATTTTTAAAAAATCATTAAATCTATAGCATTATCTTCTCCTTCAAAGGAGGCAGAAAAAGGGGTGAACAGGTGGAGGAGGAAGGTAGCACTCTTCTAGTCAAATACCAACTAATAAAAACAGAAGAACTGACAGAATTAGCTTATCAACATTTACAACCACCTTTCTAGTAACCGATTACAGCATGGGTCATCAATGGATCATTAAAAACACATGATGAAAAGATAGTTGGAGAGCAGGATATTCAGTTTCACCCTCCAGATTACTAATTAATCACATTGGGAAAAAGATATCTTTGCAATGGAGGCACTGAACAGATAACACCTTAACCAAATGTGGTAGGCAGAATTCTAAAGTGGTCCCCCCAAATATCCTGCCTAATCCCGCAACTGTGAATATATTATGCCCATGATTATATTATCATACATGGCAAAATTTATGTGAGAAATGTAATTAAGGTTACTAATTAGTTGAATCTGAGGTAATGAAAAAGGAGATAGATATCTGAGTGAACACTTAAAAGCAGAGTTTTCCCTGGCTGGTGGCAGAGTAGAAGTTGAAGATTCGAAGTATGAGAAGGAGTCAATGTGCTATAGCTGGTTTAAACACAAAGGGGCCCTGGGAGAAGATATGTGGGTGGTGGCCTCCGGGAACAGAGAATAGTCTGGCTCACAGCCGACAAGGAAACATGGACCTCAGACCTCCTCCAGGCACAATAAACTAAATTCTTTTTTTGCTTTTCCTCTTTTTTTTTTTTTTTCTTTTGAGACTGAGTCTTACTCTGTCGCCCAGGCTGGAGTGCAATGGTGCAATATTGGCTCACTGCAACCTCTGTCTCTGCCTAAGTGACGGGTATATGGGGTTCAAGCAATTCTCCTGCCTCAGCCTCCCAAGTATTTGGGATTACAGGCACCTGCCACCACGCCTGGCTAATTTTTCTATTTTTAGTAGGGACAGTGTTTCACCCTGTTGGCCAGGCTGGTCTCAACCTCCTGACCTCAAGTGATCTGCCCACCTCGGCCTCCCAAAATGCTGGGATTACAGGTGTGAGCCACTGTGCCTGGCCACAAGGAACTAAACTGTCAACAACCTGAATGAGCTTGGAAACTGATTCTTCCCCGGAGCCTCCAGGAAAGAGCCCAGCTCGGCCAAGAGCTTGACTTTGGCCTTGTAAAATCTTGAGCAGCGAAACCCAGCCAAACTTATAATCTACAGAACTACAAGGGTGTTGTTTCACATGCAATACATGCTCAGTTCGTGGTAATTTGTTACACAGCAGAAAACCAATATATCAAGTAATTGAAGTTAATATTACTTATAACAGAATATCTCCCGAAGTGATACATGAGGATACAACTTCACCTATGTTGTATTCTTGACAAAAGTACATTAATGTAATCATGATGGGATGATCAAACAAAATGGAGAAACATTGTGGACATTAGTATGATAATTGAGGAGTTTTTAATATAGACCCTAACTTAGATAGTTGTGTTGAAACGATGTTTACTGTGATAATTGTATTATGATTTCATGGAAGAGTATTCTTCATCCTAGGAGATACACGCTAATATATATGGGGGCAAAGTATTATAAGGTCTCAAACAGTTTAGCCAAGAAGCAAAGGGAAAGAAAAAGAAATATATTCACATCCCACACATATACACAGATACGGAAAACATCACCAAGGCATTAACAATTGGTGAATCTAGCTGAAGGGTATATGGGGTTTTAATGTACTAATTCATTCAACTTTTCTGTAGGTTTGAAATTGTTCAAAGTAAAAAGTTGGGGGAAGAACTTTTTAAAAAATGTATTAAGCAAAACAAATAAAATCCTACCAACAATTTTTATAAAATATGCCTGTTAATTAATTGTTTTTTGTTCTTTTTTCCCTGCTCCCATAAATACGTTTGTTCAAACTATAGTTTCAGGTGTTAGCAGTTTTTAAACAGTTTTACCCGGTAAAAAGGAATTTTGAATAAGGGCCCTATCTTAGATAGTTGTATTGAATAAATGTTATTTATTGAAATAGCTGTTAAATAAAATAAACTATAAAAAAAACTGTAAATAAAATAAACTATTGGGGTAGAATTAGAACTGGACAGTCAAAGCTACTGCCAATACAAGAGTAGAGATCTTTTATAGATTCTAAGGATTAAATTTGTTTTTTGAAAATAAATGAGATTTTTAAATAGGCAAGGCATTAATGAAAGTTGTGCCAATCTAGAACCAAACCATGTTAATGCTTACCCCAGCAAGGCTCCAATTATACCACCAGCCACCAGGCCACGCAGGCCTAAGTTTATTCTAAAAAGACTTCCCGTGACAGCTGTTTAAAAACAAGAAAGGCAATATTAAATCATCTTTAAATACTAGAATCCTATTTTAAAACTTTCCTTCTATAAAATGGGCACAAATCCCTAAGTGAGCTTTCTGAATCCAATGTTAATATACTACTACAGCCTATACTTCCTGAATCTAAAATGCCAACACAGGTAGTTTCCCATCCACTCCGCAGATTCAAAGGAAGAAACATCTCTCCTACAAAAAAAATCTCCAATCTGTTCTATGGATCCATTTATTCTGCTTCATTTTTCTCCAACTCTCCTTAAAAACTTGAAAATGTTTTCCCCCTTCTCTTCCTTTCTTCTTTCTTCAAGGAAAATAAAAAAGCAAAAAAACCTTCACTAGCCCCTCCAGTTTATGCCTTCCCCTAGACTCACTCTCTCTGTACTGCTACACGACACCACTCAGGCAGGGTGACAAGCAAGCAGCATTTGGCCTTCAATGCTACCAGTGCGCAGAAAGATTTCTTTCCTTTCTGCTGGGACTGTGCATCAATCATGCTCATTCATTTTCCTTTCACTATGCACAATGCAACTAATACCATCTAAGGTGGTAACACTTTTTAAAGAATAACATTTGAGGCCAGGTGCAGTGGCTCACACCTGTAATCTCAACACTTTGGGAGGCCAAGGTGGGCAGATCACTTGAGGTCAGGAGTTCTAAGCCAGCCTGGGCAACATGGCAAAACCTTGTCTCTACTAAAAATACAAAAATTAGCCAGGTGTGGTGGTGCACGCCTGTAAGCCCAGCTACTCAGGAGGCTGAGGGCATGAGAATTGTCTGAACCCCAGAGGTGGAGGCTGCCGTGAGCAGATATCACACTCCTGCACTCTAGCCTCAGCGAAAGAATGAGACTCTGTTTCAAAAACAAAAGAAATAACAGTTGAGGTTTATATTTTTAAGTACTATATATTCATTTTTAAAATTTTCAAAATTCACCAGAACCAAAATCACCTTTAATCCCATTACCCAGAGTCAGTAATGAGTTAGTCTTTTTTTCTGATCCTCCAAACAAAAAAAAACAAACAACAACAACAAAAAAACTGGGGCTGGGCACAGTGGCTCACACCTGTAATCCCAGCACTTTGGGAAGCTGAGATGGGTGGATCATGAGGTCAGGAGTTCAAGACCAGCCTGACCAAGATGCTGAAACCCCATCTCTACTAAAAATACAAAAATTAGCCAGGCATGGTGGCACACACCTGTAATCCCAGCTACTTGGGAGGCTGAGGCAGGAGAATTGCTTGAACTCGGGCAGCAGAGGTTGCAGTGAGCGGAGATCGCGCCACTGCACTCCAGCCTGGGCAAGAGAGCAAGACTCTGTCTAAAATAATAAAACAAAACAAAAACACAAAAACTGGTGTCATGGTGTACATACTAAATTTTTTATTTTCACAGAACATATTATTAAATTCTGTATTACTAAATTTTCTCCCTTCTGGTTCCATTGCATGGAGGTACCACAAATTTTTGTCTAACACTTAGATTTTCTATTTATAGATATTTTAAATAAAGGTGTGATCATAATCCCTCCACAAATAGTCTTTTTATACATTTGACTGTTTCCTTAGGATGAACTCACAGAAATGAAATTTCTGGGTCAAACGGTATAAATATAAACATTTTTAAGGCCTTTGACTTAGATTACTAAACTGCTATTCAAAAAGGATGCATAAACTTATTTTCCAAATAAAAGTATGCTAGTAATCTAGTCTTCTGCATTCTCTTAGTTTATTTTTTCCAATTCGATAGGCCAGAAGTGGTATGTAATTTTAAGTTGCATTTCTCTGATTAGTAGAGAAAAGAAGTTGTTTTTCCCTAGGTTTACAAGTTATTTATGGTACGTCTGTGAATTACAAATTCATGTCCTTTGTCCAATCTTCAACTGAGCCATCCTTTCTTTTTGATGTATTAGGGCTTTTATCCATTATCTGCACATAATATTATTTTGGCGTTGTTTACGTTTAATGTCTCCTATAGTATTTATGACATAGATAAGTTTAAAAATTTTACGTGGCCAAAACTGTGGTTTCCTGTTTCCTAGTTTCTTAGTTCTGATGCTTAAAAATATATACAGTTGATAAACATGAGTTTGAACTGTGCAGATTTACTTACACATGATTTTTTTTTTCTTTCTTTCTTTTTTTTTTTAAGAGAGTCTCACTCTGCTGCCCAGGCTGAGTGCAAGGTCACGATCTTGGTTCACTGCAACCTCCGCCTCCCGGGTTCCAGTTATTCTCCCCCACCTCAGCCTACCAAGTAGGTGGGACTACAGGTGCGCGCCACCACACCTGGCTACTTTTTAAACATTTTTTAGTAGAGATGGGATTTCACCATGTTGGCCAGGCTGGTCTCGAACTCCTGACCTCAAGTGATATGCCTGCCTCGGCTTCCCAAAGTGCTGGGATTACAGGCATGAGCCACCTGTATTGAAAACCAAAACATATTGAAAAATGTTTTGGAAACATGCAATAATTTGAAAAAACTTGCAGATAAACTGTCTAGCCTAGAAAGACCAAAAAAAAAATTAAGAAAAATGTGTGTCTTTAAGTGCATAAAATATACGTAGATACCAGTCTACTTACGTGTGAATCAACTGCTTATGTTATTGGTAAGGCTTCTGGAGAATAGTAGGCTATTAGTAGTTAACTTTTGGGGGAGTCAAAAGTTGTATGTGGATTTTTCAACTGCGCAGGGTGGAGGTCAGCATTGCTATTGTGTTCAAAGCTGTTTTCAGTGTTGTTCAAAGGTCAACTGTGTATATGTACACATTTATATATCTTCCTACGCAGAAATCAGAGACACATTTACTTCTAAACTTTCCCTAATCTTTTATGGACGTTTTTTACATAAGCACTATAATAAATGTTAACTAATTTTGTTGAACTGAATACAGGTATAATTTCTTTCCAAATAGTTAATAACTGTTCCAGCCCATGAATGGTCTATTCTTTCCCCACAAATGTGAAATATCACCTTTACTTACCTGTGTGTGCTTTGTTTTGTTTCTGACCTTTGAATTCCATTCCACAGATCGACCAATACCTCACTGTCCTCTTCATTGTAACTTTATACAGATTTTAATTTTACAGTTGCAAGAACCCCTCATCATTTTTTTCTGAAATGTCTTTGCTATGCTCATATAATCAGCATTTTAGATATGATTTAGACATTGTATCAAGTTCTTTTTTTAAAAAAAGTCTGTAATTTTGATTTGAATTGCTTTCAATTTATAAACGAAGTAGAAAAATACTGGGTTAACTATCAACTATTTCCCCATTTTTATTATTTATGATTTGTAATTTTCTTCAGAGAAGTTGTATATTTATTAAATTTATTCCTTATTATATTACATTCTTGGTACTATTATAAAGAAAATTTTTTACTTTTCAAGTAACCGTTGAAATATAAAAAGCCTATTTATATATTTACACTTTACTGACTAGCAATAACTTTTCAAGTCATCTTTTAAAATATCACCTACAAATACGATTTTGCTTCTTCCTATCTAAAAGCACTGCTTTTTGCCCTTCTGTGTTAGTGTATTTTTAACAGTTTTATTGAGGTATAATTTACATCACACAAAATTCACTGAAATGTACAATTCAATAATTTGTAGTAAAAAAATTTAGTGGCCGGGCACAGTGGCTCACGCCTGAAATCCCAGCACTTTGGGAGGCCGAGGTGGGTGGATCACAAGGTCAGGAGATGGAGACCATCCTGGCTAACACGGTGACACCTCGTCTCTACTAAAAATACAAAAATAAAATTAGCCAGGCGTGGTGGACTGCACCTGTAGTCCCAGCTACCTGGGAGGCTGAGGCAGGAGAATCGTTTGAACCCGGGAGTGGAGGTTGCAGTCAGCTGAGATCACGCCACTGCACTCCAGCCTGAGTGACAGAGCAAGACTCCGTCTCAAAAAAAAAGAAAAAAAAAAAATTAGTTGCATTGTTATATAATCATCACCAAAATCCAATTTTAAAATGATTCTATCATTACAAAAAGATCCCCCTGCCCCTTTGTGGTTACTCCTGGTTCCCAATCTCACCTCAGTCCACTAATGTACTTTCTAACTCTACAGATGTGCTTATTCTGGACATTTCATATGAATAGAATTACACATTATGAAGTCTTACGTGTCTAGCTTCTTTCACTTAACGTTTTTAAGTTTTATTCATGTTGCAGCATGTATCAGTTTTTCATTGATGAAAATATTCAAGTGAATGGACATGTATTTTATTTACCCATTCACTAGTTGATGAACTTATGGGTTGTTTCAGTTTGAGGCTGTCAGGAATAACACCACTATAAAAATTTATATGTAAGTCTTTGCGTGGACATGTTTTCATTTATCTTGGGGAGATTCTAAGACATGGAATTGCTGAATTGCACAGTAAATTATGCTTATTATTATTTTTTTTTTTTTTGAGACGGAGTCTTGCTCTGTAGCCCAGGCTGGAGTGCAGTGGCGCCATCTTGGCTAACTGCAAGCTCCGCCTCCCGGGTTCACGCCATTCTCCTGCCTCAGCCTCCCAAGTAGCTGGGATTACAGACGTGCACCACTATGCCTAGCTAATTTTTGTATTTTTAGTAGAGACGGGGTTTCACCATGTTGGCCAGAACGGTCTCGAACTCCCAACCTCAAGAGATCTGCCTGCCTTGGCCTCCCAAAGCACTGGGATTACAGGCATGAGCCACTGCACCTGGCCTTCCAACGGTTTTCTGAATTCATTTGGCTTTTCTACATCCAAGATGTTGTGGTTACCCTCCAGAGACAATAAACCTCCCTACCTATATTTAGATATTGAATTCAAAATTCAGTATCTACAAATTTGAATTAGATATTGAGATGCCAAAGTACCGAGAGGTACTAAGAGGATACCAAAAGGTTTATTACACACATAATGAGGCTTTCTAGGGAGAGCAAGGCAGGATCCCAAGCACGTCCCAAAATGACTTGAGAACCTGAAGGATGACTGACTGGCTTGTGGTTTTAGAAGGTGGGGCTACAGCAAGAGTTCCCACATGTAGGCCTGAGCTTGAATGGTTGAAACTTCTTGCCGGTGTCAATCAAGGTAGCACTTGGGCTTTCTTATCAGCTTGTCAAGATGTGGGGCAAAAAGCAAAGGGAGACGTCCAGTTTCTGGTATGGCATGTGAGAAGTTTAGAATTTAACGCTTATTCCTAACAACAAGTAAAAACCTAAACAAATGGAAAAACTGACAACTCTTCTTAGATGCATCAAAGAAGTGAGACCATGGGTAAACTGCTGCCCCCAAAATAGGAGAGACAGACAGATAAGTACAGAGAATCACACCTTATTATAGTAGAAACCCATGAGCAGAAGCCTCCATGGAAACCAGTACCAGAGTAGGAAACCTTGACTATAAATGCTAAATCGCTGGAAGCTCAGTATAGAAAAGTCTAAGACATAAAAACTGTAGGGGGCCCAGTCACAGAGGGTCCCCACACTCCAGGAGCTCTACCAGGTTCTCCCAGTAAAGATCTGAGAAAAATCCCCTCAGGCTTCTGGCAAGGGGGAAGAAAAGTAACCATTATGAAATATGCCAGAACATTCTGTTATTCTCACCAAGGCCTGCCCTCAAGATAAACGGTTTTGCACAGCCCAAACTACTGGGGTTTTGTCAGAGATTAACCAATCTGGGGAATGTCCAAATGCAACTGCTCTAGTCTCCCATGTGGGAGAAGGGAAATACCCATTCCAACCCACTGTAGTATCCTGTCCCACCAAAGGAGAGGAAAAAACTGAAAAGCACTTGTGAAGTTAACATTTCAGAGACACAGGCTCACTAAAAGACTAAGAACCTAATCACAGGACTATAAAACACTTTCCCTCTCCCACATCTTAATACCAAATTACTAAAGACCTATTTACCACAATTCCTTTTTACCCAGGTACATCATGTCCAGCTATTAAGAAAAAAAATTACAAGGCATCCCAAAAGGCAAAAGCAGTTTGAAGAGACCAAGTAAGACTAACAGAGTAAGCACCAAAACCAGACTCAGATATGGTGGGGATACTGGACTTACCAGATGAAGAGTTTAAAGCAACTATGACTAATATGCTAAGGGCTCTAATGGATAAAGTAGATAGCATGCAAGAACAGATAGGCAATATAAGCAGAGAGATGGAAATTCTAAGAGAGAATCAAAGAGAAATGCTAGCGATAAAACAATTAAAAACCCACCGTGACAGAACTCAAGAACAGTAGACTGGACACAGCTGAGGAAAGAATCCCTGAGCTTGAAGACGTATCAACAGACACTTCCAAAACCGAAAGACAAAGAGAAAAAAGATGGGAACCTCCCCCACCAAAACCAAACAAACAAACAAACAGATAAAATATCCAAGAACTGTGAAACAATTACAAAAGGTGTAAGTGTATTAGAACACCAGAAGGAGAAGAAAAAGCTAAAGAAATCTTTGAAACAATAACTGAGAATTTATCTTAAAGCAAGTCAGAAAACAAACCACAGATCCAGAAAGTTCAGAAAACACTAAGCACAGTAAATGTTCCTCAAAATTATACCGGGGCATATCATTTTCAAACTGCAGAAAATCAAAGATAAAGAAAAAAATAGTGAAGTATGTGAACACAGGGGAAAGACACCTAAACAGAACTAAACATAGGAAAATGGCTACGGAGAACTCTCTAGGGAAGCTGAGGCTGACAAATGATCTAGACTTTGAAAGGTAAGGTTAAGTAGGAGCCGAAAAAAATTAATCGTGGTAGTGAGAAAGTGCATTCAAGAAGAGGGACTGATTCTCAAAAAAACAAAAACAAAAACAAACTTACGTTCAGAATATGTATGTGTGTTTTTGTACGTACAAGAACGTAAGAGTTAGTGATTCAGTGTATACGGCAGTTAACTTAATTTACCTTTCTGAAACGAATGCTCATTTTAAAATTATTTTTTAAATCTGACAAGTAAAAATTGTACACATATGGTATACAACATGTTTTGAAATATGTATATATTGTGGAATGGCTAAATTAAGCTAATTAACCTACACGTTACTTCGCATACCATTTTTTGTGGTGAGAACATTTCAAATCTACTTTTTTTTTTTTTTTTTTAAGACAGAGTTTCACTCTTGTTGCCCAGGTTGGAGTGCAACGGTGTGCTCTCCGCTCAGTGTAACCTCTGCCTCCTGGGTTCAAGTGATTCTCCTGCCTCAGCCTCCCAAGTAGCTGGGATTTCAGGAACCTGCCACCACGCCCAGCTAATTTTTGTATTTTTAGTAGAGACAGGGTTTCACCATGTTGGCCAGGCTGCTCTCAAACTCCTGACCTCAGGTGATCCACTTGCCTTGGCCTCCCAAAGTGCTGGGATTACAAAAATCTACTTTTTAAAAGCAATTTTGAAGTATACAATACACTGTTATTAACCACAGTTACCATGTTCTAAATATATCTCTTGAACTTACTCCTCCTGTCTAAATGAAATTTTGTATCCTTTGACCAACATCTTCCCAACTCCATATCCAGTCTCTGGTAATCACCATTGTACCTTCTATTTTTAATGCTCATTTAAAAGTAGACATATATACTAGAGGCAGAGAGCTTTAAAATAAAATCCAAGTTCTTAGCATAAAAAATTTAGTCCCTTCCTATCGTCCTCACCAATCTCATCTCAAGCTACTCTTACCCTCACTCACCAGGTTACTATCCTGCTTTTAAGGAAATGTATTGCCTTAGAGCCTTCCCCCTTTATGTTCCCTCTATTTAGGACACCCTTCCTTGCAAGTCTTGTTCCTTCCTATTCTTTGGGTATCAGCTTAAATGTCACTTCCTCAGAAAGGCCTTCTCTGACTACCCTGTCCATATGAGATGCCATTGTTCCACCGAATTGTTACTTTCTATCACAGCAACCTGTTTTATCACATACATATTAGACATTAAAATTCAAAGAAAGCAAGGGCCTTGCTGTTTTGCCCATTGAGTATATCAAGGGTGAAGCACAACACTGTCCATAAATACATTTTGCATGAATGTTGATGAGATGCGATGGGAAGCCAACCAAAGAATTCAGTAGTTCTGATGTATAAGTTCTTACATATTTTCTAAACTATATTTGAGAAGATTGAAAAACATAAACAAAAATGTCTTACCTCCTGCAATTACAAAATGGCTTAGGGCATCTTTATTTCGGTATATATTCAGACTAGTGCTCACTGTGCTGGGAAAAAGGGAGGAGAAGGAAAATATAAGATTTAAAGCATATCCCATTTACCTTCTTTAGTGTTATTTTCACTGACTTAATAGATATAGAAAAGCCGACTATATCAACCCCTGGTCCTAGTCTAGGCCCTCAATGTGTTCCAGACATAGCTATAAAACCGTAACCGCACCAGTCTTTTACACAGACAAAAGTTCTTGGGGAAAAAAAAAAAAAGGCATTATGAATCACTTTCATGTGGGTATTCAGTTTTCATAACCCCACCCGCTCAAAAGACACACTCCTAAAATTCAGAGTGAACTTACTTGAATATAGTCACAAATGCTGCAGTTCTCCAACTCCAGCGCCAGCCATAACGAATGAAGCCTCGTGTAGCAGCACGATGTGCAGATTGCTAAAGTTAATTTAAAAACTGTGAGATTCTAAGACACCATCATATTTTCCCTATTCTAGAACTGTGGTAGAGGAATTTTAGCCATGGATTAGTCAGGTACACTTAAACAGACAGAAACGCTAGAAAATCTCTAGAAATATTATTCTTTAAGTATTGAAGTTCCATGTGTAGCTTTTCCTGTCAGGAGATGAAAAATGGTTGAGTATCCCTTATCTGATACTTGAGACCAGAAGTGTTTTGGATTTCGGATTTTTTCAGATTTGGGAATATGCATATTTAACACTTACTGCTTGAGTATCCCAAATCCAAAAAACCGAAATCTGAAATGCTCCAGTGAGCAATTTCTTTGAATGACATGTCAATGCTCAAAAAGTTTGGAATCTGAGCATTCAGGACTTCAGATTTGTGATGCTCAACCTGTAACGAATTACAAATCTACAGAATAAAATAAGAATTCATGAGTTCCTACTGATAGAAATAAATTATAAATAGATAAATAAATATGTAAATAGAGGGGGAAGGGAAAACACTTCCTTAGAGCATAATACTAACACATAAATGTAGAAAGAATGATAGACTTTATAAAATGCCCATTTGGCCACCACAGTCATAACTGTTACAGGCAAGAATCATCATTAAATGCTAAAACTGCCTGGGTATGGTGGCTTATGCCTGTAATCTCAGCACTTTGGGAGGCAACGAGGGAGGATCACTTGAGCTAACAAGTTTAAGACCAGCCTGGGCAACATAGTGAGATCCTGCTTCTACAAAAAAAATGTAAAAATTAGCTGGGCATCGTGATGTGTGTTTGCAGTCCTAGCTACTCGGAAGGTTGAGGAGGGAGGAAACCTTGAGTCCAGAAGTTTGAGGTTGTGGTGAGCTATGATCCCGCCACTGCGCTCCAGCCTGCACTGAGGCAGCAAGACCCTGCCTCAAAAAATTTCAAAAAAAAAAAAAATAATAAATTAAAAAATAAAAATAGGCTGGGCCCGGTGGCTCACACCTATAATCCCAACCCTTTGGGAGGCCCAGGAGGGTGAACTGCTTGAGCTGAGGAGTTTGAGATCAGCCTGGGCAACATAGCAAAACCCTATCTCTACAAAAAATACAAAAATTAGCTGGGAGTGGTGGCACATGCCTACAGTCCCAGCTACTTGCGAGGCTGAGGCAGGAGAATCGAGTGAGCCTGGGAAATGGAGGTTGCAACAAGCCAAGATTGTGCCACTGTACTGTAGCCTGGGCAACAGAGTGAGACTCTGTCTCAAAAAATAAATAAATGAAAAAATATATTTTTTTAAAAAATCAAAAAATGCTAAGATAGCATTTATAATTTAGAATAGTTTTTAGATAGTAGAAATATTATATTTATAATAGCATTTAAATAGTAGAAATTTGATGTAAAGCAGGATATTTACATAGTCTCAAAGGAACTAACAAGTACTCAAAATACTTATAAATTACAAACGGAAAACATAGTAATTTTACAGTGTATAGTTGGCAGAGGCCATCTTAACCAAGTAACTAAAGTAAATATCACCAGTAAAGGGACAGAGATATCATAGGTTTCTAATTTAATTTCAGTTCTAGGGTATTCCTGTCAAAAAACATAGCCTGAATGCAATCATGAGAAACCATCAAACGAACCCAAACTGAGGGATATTCTACAAAATAAATCACCCATAGTCAAGGCCATGAAAGACGAAGAGAAACTCTTCCAGACTAAATGAGACCAAAGCAGCACCACAGGCAAATTCAACTGACCCTGATCCAGGGTCAGTTTCTGAACCAGACAAAAAAATGTTTCTAATTTTTTAATAAGAACTCAAGCCTAACTTCTGAAAAATACATATTTTTTATTTATTTTTAAAATAAATGATACTGTGGGGTAACTAGCAAAATTTACAGGTCTTTAAGGTAATAGTACTATATCAGTGTTAATTTCCTGATCTTGATATTATAATTGTGGTTGTATAAGAGAATTTCCTTGTTTTTAGGAAATACACACTGAAGTATTCATCATGTCTAGAACCTACTGTCAAGTAGTTCAGAAAAAATTAGTACATATTATACTGAGGGAGAATAATAAAACAAACACGGTAAAATGTTAACAGTGGAGTACCTGGATGAAAGTTATATAGGAAATCTTTGTACTATTTTTGCAACTTTCAAGCCTGCCATAATTTCAAAATAAAAAGTTAAAAATTCTCTGAGCTTTAATATTCTCACAGAAGAACTGATGTACAGATCTAATGATGTAATAAATGAGTCAGCACTCTATAAAGTTATAAATGTTAACTATTGTCTTAGTGTAAGCTCCTATACTCAGGGAGGCTTTGTGAATGAGGTAAATACGTTACAGTTGAGCCTTGATGATTTAGCAGGGGATTGGAAGAAATACATTTCAGAAAGAAAAGCCACAGTGGTGATGCCAAACATGTCTGTTCTGAAGATAAGAAAGTAGTCTCTCAAGCCACATGCAGGCACTTTAACGTTAGTACTTCCACTGTTATTAAATATAGACTTTATTTCTTTACTCTGACACTTTTAAAACAACCCTCCATCCCCACAAGCTAACTGAATGATTAAGTGTAAAGTGAATTGCTAAGTCAGTGTGCCCTAAATTTCTTTAGACCACCAGTACGTACCACAGCATCAAACCGGTTATGGTAAATTTCTGCCTGGCTCTGCTCAATGTATTGTCGTTTAGCATGAATGAAAGCTGGTATACCCCCATACACCCAGCCAAGGATGCCTGCTGTAGCTGTCATCTTACAGATATCAGCAAGTTCCTTTGAAATTCTCTGCTGTTCACTACAACATCAAAAAGACAATGTTGTTTGGGATTAGTTTATGGACATTGCTCTCCAAAAGAATCTATAATCAGAATTATCCCAAATGCTAACACCACAACATTTTTCATCATAGGTAGAATCCTCAGATGAATTAAACAGTTCAGTTATATTAAAAGGAACGTAAGTCTCAGACAAAACGAAGCTATGCTGTTAGAATTAGGATAGTGGCAACTCCTGAAAAGACAATGACTGGAAAAGGCACAAGGGGAGCTTTTGGGATGTTATAATAGTTGCCATTTCCTTCTGGGTGTTGGGTACAGCTATGTTCAGTTTGTGAAAATGCATTCATCAGTCTACTTATGTACATTTTTTGAAATGCATTTCCACTTCAATCAAGTTTTCTAAAAGGTGCTTTTATTTGATGACTATTACACCCCTAGAAACAGGAAGAATTTGTGAGTTAGAGAGGCCAATATTTTCGTTTAAATCTTAAGCTAACTTTAAGAAATCACACCAACTCGTGAGATTTTAGGGCAATGTATCAAAGAAAAAAAAACGTGGACGTTAAGACAAAAAATCTAAATTCTATTTTACTAAATAATTTCATGAAATACTCAGATAGAACTGTATTAATAAAAGCATTGGGCTGGGCACAGTGGCACATGCCTGTAGTCACAGCTACTTAGGAGGCTGAGGCAGGACTTGAGCCCAGTTCTGGACAGCATAGCAACATAGCAAAGATCCTGGCTCTAAAAATAAACAAATAAATAAATGTTTTTTAAAAAACGCACTGAGAAAGTTCACTATGCAGTGGGTGGCACATGCCAATCTAAAATAATAAGGAAAAGCTACTATTTAATTCAGTTTGTTACTCTCAAACGCGCATAAGAAGCTAGAACTGCTAATGAAGCTTCCAAGATGTCATCCTGAAACTGCTCTAACAAATAGCTGTCTTAAGTTACTATAAAATAATTGCCCTTCTAGGCCGGGCGTACTCCAGCCGCGGTGGCTCACGCCTGTAATCCCAGCACTTTGGGAGGCGGAAGCAGGCAGATCACGTGAGGTCAGGAATTGGAAACCAGCCTGCTGAATGGTGAAATTCCGTCTCCACTAAAAATACAAAAATTAGCTGGACATGGTAGTGGGCAACTGTAATCCCAAATACTCGGGAGGCTGAGGCAGGAGAACCGCTTGAACCCCGGAGGTGGAGGGTGCAGTGAGCCAAGATCGCACCACTGCACTCCAGCCTGGGCGATAGAGCACGGCTCAGTCTCAAAAAAATAAAATAAAAATACGAGTTTGGGCTGGCGCGGTGGTTCACGCCTGTAATCCCAGCACTTTGGGAGGCTGAGGTAGGAGGCTCACCTAAGTCCAAGAGTTCAAGACCAGCCTGGGCAGCAGGGTAAGAACCCTGTCTATAAAAAATATATTTTAAAAAAATTAGCCGGGCGTGGTGGCGCGCGCCTGTAGTCCCAATTAATCGGGAGGCTGAAGTGGGAGAATCACTCGAGTCCGAGAGGCAGAGGTTGCAGTGAGCCGAGATCGCACAGAGCACTCCAGCCTGGGCGACAGAGCAAGACCCTGTCTGGGAAAAAAAAAAAAAAAAAAAAAGATACAAGTTTGGGTTACAAATATCAGAACCTTTAAATATAATTTAAAAATGAAGCACACCATCCTTGGCGTCCTAAGGCTGACCCAGGCTGCCAACGCTGCAGAACATCGCTTTCGCGTCCCCCTACCCACTTCGGACCCCAGGCACTTTTACTCTTTGGCAAACAGCTCCTGGAGGCGGTCCCATCCAGATTCCGGGTAATAGGGCTCTGGGACGTAGAGAGGCCGCTTCTGACGCTCCGCAAGGGATTCCGAATCGGCAGTCGCACCTTCGGCAGCAAAGACTCGGGGAAACGGACACAAGGCTCTACAGAGAAAGCTCCGCGCTGCCGGTGGCGGCACCTCCATGGCCTTCTCTCGACCTACGGACAAATTGAGCCTTCAGGACTTCAAGTCCTCCCGGACGTGCCGCGGGAGAGCGTAACTGTACGAGGTGATTTGGCCCAGGATAACCCTCTGCCGGAGGGCTCTGACACCAACGCCTTCAGTCCCGGGCCTCGCTTTGGAGTCCTTGGAAATACGACACAGGAAGTCCCGCTCAACCGGGGCAAATGCCAGGGGGCCGGGCGATGGCAAAGCCGGAGCCCAAAAGACTTCCGGTGGAGGGCGGGTCGGGCCACTGCTGTGCTGAGTCCACCCCGGAAGTGAGTTGGCTGCCGGTAATGAAGCTCAGCGTGGTCCCGGCAGGCGTTCGTTCCGTGTCTTAGTGGTTCCTGGGTCATGCAAACAGCGTCTGCGGCTAGTTACATTCAGCTTGAGGTGGTCATAGGTTGAAGTAATTAAGCGTAATTAAAATGCCAGGAATTAGCTGGGCATTGTGGCGGGCGCCTGTAATCCTAGCTACTTGGGAGGCTGAGGCAGGACAATCGCTTGAACCCAAGAGGCGGAGGTTGCAGTGAGCCGAGATCACACCACTGCACTCCAGCCTGGTCAACAAGAGCGAAAATCCGTCTCAAAAAGAAAAAGCCAGGAATCCCGCTTCAGTGAGGAAGAAAGTGCAATATTCAGTGCAAGTGGAATAGGGAAAGAGGGAAAGGCGAGTTGTGCAGGTAAAGGGGATGGGTCTTGGTGCCAGTTACACCAAGATTTCGAGAACACTTTTTTGAAGAATCAGCTTTTTGGCAGGTCTTCATAAGGTGGATTTCACTCCCTTTAGTTCATATGCCTACTGCTTCTCAAAAGGCAGGAGAATTTCTGGAATTTCTGTGTTTGTATAATTTGCCGTCACTACAACCTCTGCTAACATGCTTCGAAGTATAGTTTTCATTAAAATGAATGCATTTAAAATATTCTCAGTATTCGTGTAATTTCATTCTCCCTTATTCATTTTACCAATCCCTTCACCTCCTTTATTCCTTTCTAGTTATAAAGCAAAATTGCCACACTGTAGTAGAATACAGTAAACAGACTTCTGGAATTTGATAGCTGGAAATTCTATACACAAGTCTCTGAGAAGTGGCTGACTAGAGTGACCAGGTGAATTAGTGACGGCGCTACAAAGACTACTCTGGGATACAAGATTTGATTCAGCACTCATCGTGGCACTTATGACACTGCATCATAATTTCCTATTTGTTCATCCATCTCAATAAACTATCCTTGAGGTCACAGACCACATATATTCATCTCTGTATCTCCAGGACCTAGAACTGTAGTAGGTGCTCAGTAAATATTTGTTGAATGAATAATTCAGATTCCCTGACTTCTGGCTCTGGGTTGCTGCTTATCTCATGTTAGGTAGAAGTAGGCACCAAGATAAGTTAGCAAAGCTTGGAAGCCCAAGAAAATGGCTGTACACTCTGTTTCTAACCCATATGTAGAAAAAGCTAAATGCATAAGATGACCCCAGAATTATTCTGGGATGTAGGAAGACTTGAAATGGGTAGGAGGGTTTGGGTGGGTGTTGGGAAGATACTGACGAAATCATTCATGTACAACTCAAGTGCCCCAGGATTTACTAGCCTATAGATGAGGTCATATTAACAGGCAAATTTTAAACTCCATAACTTGTTTCTCCTTTGGGTAACTGAAGACTCATTTGTAAGGTTTCTTTTGCCACTTAATACTTCAAAAAAGTCCCCAGTCCTTTGGCTACTGCTCACACTGTTGCTGCTCTTCCATCTGAGCCCTCCCACATTTCCTACTTCCCCAATCCCTTAGGGCTTACCTTCTTTTAGAATGAAGGAAATGCTCACCCTCCTCTGTAGTCTACTTATTTTATTTTATTTTTGATACAGTCTAAACTCTTGTCACCCACGCTGGAGGGCAGTGGCACAATCTCAGCTCACAGCAATCTCTGCCTCCTAAATTCAAGCGATTCTTGTGCCTCAGCCTCCTGAGTAGCTGGGATTACAGGCATGTGCCACCATGCCTGGCTAATTTTTGTATTTTTAGTAAAGATAGTGTTTCACCACGTTGGCCAGTCTAGTCTCAAACTCCTGGCCCCAAGTGATCTGCCTGCTTCAGCTGCCCAAAGTGCTGGGATTACGGGTGTGAGCCGCCGTGCCCAGCCCTGTAGCCTTTAGTCTACTCTTTTTGAAGGTTCTCAGAGCAACACAGTCTAAGCCAGAGGTGTCCAATCTTTTGGCTTACCTGGGCCACATTGAAAGAAGAATTGTCTTGGCCTACACATAACACTAACTATAGCTGATGAGCTAAAAATAATAATAATAATAAAAGTCCATGCATAAATCTCAAGTTTTAAGAACGTTTACAAATTTGTGTTGGGGCGCATTCAAAGCTTTCCTGAGCCACATGCAGCTTGTGAGCCATGGGTCGCACAAGCTTGGTCTAAGCCAAAAGGTGTTATGGGGTTTACTGGACCACTGTTTCACATATGGCTTTCTTGTCCCCAGGACATGTGTTTGACAGCAGAGTAACTGCATCAGGGAAGGATTTCAGTGGAATCATCATACTGCCTGGAACACCATTCTTCCACCATCAGCCCTTGTTGCTGAATTCTGTTTATAGAACCTAATAGTTTCTTCCCTTACAGTGAATTTTTTTCCCAGGGGTCAGCAGGTTCCCTTCCCTGCCAGTTTCACCAAGTACTGCCCTTGCTACATATTTTACATTTTGTTACATTATGTATGATATAAAACTTTTCCACATGTAGAGAGCTAATGAATTTTGAGAACTCCAAGGACTATTTCATTTACTTATCCTTCATGGTATAAATTAATTTTTACCTCCACAAAGTTTCCCATCTGCTCCAGTTGGAAGTTTATTCTTCCTCTAAACTCCAGATCCACATTGTCTTCATGAATAATCAGCACTCCTGTTGCCTTAATCACCTTCCACGTATATATGATGCCTCTCATATTGTTTATCATCTCAACAGCACAGCCCCTTGAGGTTTGGGAGCCTCATGTAAACTTACCTTATCTCTGTGCATAGTAGATGCTCAAGAAGTATCTGGTAAGTATTAAAGGAGTGACTTGTAAATATAACTCTCTGCTCCATCCACAACACCTTACCTCTGGATGCAGTAAGATTATCCCAAGAAAGGGCATGTTTAGATGCATGTAAAGATAGACTTTTGTGTATCTGTGCTTTTTTTTTTTTTTTTTTTTAAACGGGGTCTCATTCCCATTGCCCAGGTGGGAGTGCAGTGGTGTGATCATGGCTCATTGCAGCCTCAACATCCCAAGCTCCAGCTATCCTCCTGCCTCTTTTTTTTTTTTTTTTTTTTTTTTTTTGTAGAGCTGAGGTCTCACCATGTTGCCCAGGCTGGTCTTGAACTCCTGGGCTCAAGTGATCCTTCTGCTTTGGCATCCCAAAGAGCTAGGATTACAGGTGTGAACCACTGTGTCTGGCCTGTTTGTGCTCTTGTTTGTAGTCAGTCTAGGGGTTAAGTGTAGGGAACTCTTGGAGGGGACCCAAATGAGCCAATTAAATTTTTTGCCCTTGGGAATTTTGGGCTGAGACAGAGTCCAGTTGGCAAGGGAACTGCATTATGGTAGCACCCTGGAAACAGTCAAAATTCTTGCTGAGATTCCTGGAGGTGCCCTTGCTTCTATCCTTCTAACCACTATGAAACCTTTTTAGATTCCACGAGATGCCCTCATATTCTTCTAGTAAGTTACTTTGCTTAAACTAGCAAGAGGCAGTTTCTGTTCTTGACCACTAGGAAAATCTGACCTGATATAGTAGAATAAGGTGGGTCACTGACAGCACATAGATAACACTCCCGAAATAAATAAATAAAAAGCATTATTTGTGTTATAAGTATCCCACTTCATTCAAATAAACTATTCTTTCCTTGAAGAAAAGCATGGCCATTAGCTCTCTGAAAAGGAAAGGGTAAGTTTGGGACTGAACTAGTAACAACAACAACAAATAAAACCTTCCAAAGTTGTGGGGAAACAAATTATTTTCAAAAACAAACCATTTACATAGTTACACCATCCTCATATCATCTACACTGAGGTAAACAGATAGACAAGTACAAAATCTGAATAACATTTGCTGTATTTAAAGACAAAGATGCTCTTATTGGCTCCTCAAGGGCAAGTGAGGATTTACATTGATCCAATTCTTACAGTCTTATCTAATCATCCTTTGGAGCCAGTAACAATCTGTATATAGGATCCAGTTAAGCCAACTGTCTCCATTCCTCCATCCATCCACCCACCCACCAGTTCTTTGGGATCTATTCTGTATGAGGCACTGTGCTGGATCCTGGAGACATCAAGATGAGTAAAACTAGATTCTCACCTATTAATAAGTTCATAGAACAATAGGAGAAACAGTCAAGCAACTACAGTGATGTCATATAATACAGGCATAAGCAAAGTACTATGGTAGCCCCTTACTGCCTCGAGGAATGAATGAAAGGAGTCAGAAAGAAGGTGATATTTGAGCTAAAACTTGAAGCTAAATGGGAAACATTCCCAGGGAAATGAATTTTCAGCTCCTAATCTAAAGGATAGCAAATTTTGTTCCTATTTTAATGAGAGGAAATTAAAATTCAGAGACAATGCCTACACCTAGTAGGGCCTCATAGTGACAAGGCAAAACCATAGTACAACTCAGAAATCTGGACTGCCTATAGACAGACTCACAGCACCTAAGAACATAGTCCCTGTGCATTGCTAGTACTAAACAAAACAAAACAAAACAAAACAAAAAAAAAATCCAACTTTAAACATCTGCTTATTCCATGAAATGATCTTGCCAAGCATGTTCAACTTCTCTAAGAAGTTCAATAGACTTAAAATTTTGTGGAAAAGAGTTTAAAAAGCCTAATAGATTTCTGACAAATGGAATGTCTGATAATTATGTGACTGAATCTCACATTTACTAATTCTGAAACTAGTTAATACCAAATAGGTCTTAAGAGACAAAAGAAGAGAGGTGATTTCTCTGTGGAAAGGGTGGGCCTAAGGATCAAGGATAGTTCTAAGTCATCAGACTCCAGAGTTTTAATCTAAACATTTTTCTTCATTTTATACTATGTTAGAAAGAGCACCCTAAGATATTAAACTACTACCCAAAACATCTTTTTCAAAAAGGGAAAAAAGGAAAAAGGAGGCACTCCAACATGGATTTGCACTAAAACAAATATCTCCTATATATTTGAAGTTGAATGCTCTTAACTACCAAATGAACGGCACATTCACATATGAAGACTTCTTGTGGTTCCTGCAAGACAGTGAGAGTGTGAATGATCCCTGCTGTGGCCAATTTAAGAAGGAAAAATATTAAAGGTATGCAAAGGGTGAGGAAGAGCTGCTGCTCTATGTATAGTTCCATTAAAGAATGAGGACTACTTCCTAAATTTATTAAGAGGCTTTGTCTTTTTTTCTTTTCTTCAGAGAGACATTAAGAAGTAGGGCATGAAGGCACAAAAAGGGAACCCAAAATCCAATTGCAATAATTACTCATGCAATTGGCCTCTTTATATGTGGCATTATAGAAACCTCCTGAGTAACAGAGTTTATGGTTTTACAAAAGAGAAC